ACAACGTTTCGATTGATACCATCAGCTGTAACCCTTAAAAAATGTGATAGTTGTCACTGAGGCAACATTCAGTAGGTACAGTACCTATTGAATCAAAATCTAGACAATGGTTTTAGTATTTTTTTACCAAACGTTTATCTACCATTGAGTGTAAATGAATAGCTGACGATGTCGCTTCGCAGCCACCCCAATTCACTTTCCACAAACTGAAAGCGATCAGTACTTTTCCCTCAAAAGTGACTTAAACGAACCGTCCTCTCTTCCTGCTTGCACCAACTAATCAATAGGCCTTTTGTTGTATAAGACAAGATTTAAAATCGCGGCTATTGTAAATTAAGTAATAGGTATTTCTTATCAATCAGTAAAATATAAACAGGGAAATGAAGTGGTCTGTTAACGTTATCAAACTTATTAGATTTAGCTCTTGTGGCTATTATTTATTGCTGATTTTCCTGGTGGGATACAGAATATATACGGGAGCAGTATTTTTTTAATTGCCAGGGTGTGGTGTGTGTTTCAATTTAAGAATGCGATTTATTTCGCTATAGTGCGCGGCTATTTGTCATTTTAAAGCAACTTTCGCTAATATATCTAAAAGACATTCTACCAGATCTAAACTATAATCTGTTTAATCGTTTAAAATGTCAACTGATCTGATTTAAATCACTGGCCAAATTGATATATTTGGTTTTCATAAATATGTTAATTTGTATGAACATATTTAGGCGTAGGCTTAAGGTGCTATTAAGACTTAATGGACTTGTTTCTAGTTTTCATTGCTAGTATGGTTCCTCACACTTTCATTAAATAATTTGGGATTTCCAGTGAGTGTAATAGGATTTTAATGTTAAATTTATATACAGATATATGTTTAAATGTTTCCATTATTTTTGTCAAGTCTTTAATAACAATATGGTGATTTGGGTAAGCATCGTGTCGTGCTCGTCATAGAATGTTATTCAATTTTATTTTCACGGGATTAAAAATATTATAATAGGTTTGGTGGAACTAGAATTAATTTTAAGGTAAAGGCCATGATTAGTTGACGCCAAAGGCTGTTGTGAAATAACTTTTGAATAATTTAACGATTAATGATAATTAGTATGACATAAAATTGCCTGTCCGATGTATAACTTATATGTTTTAGAAGAGCAATTGATAACCAACGATATCTGTCTATAACGGTACAGAAAAATCTCTATTCGAGATAAGAAAAATATCTGCTTATAATTAAACTAAGTAGGTACATAAAGCTTTTAATATTAAGCTGAAATATTATCGTTCTCGATCGTTAATCGTTTTAAAGCATTTTATGCTGTGAGAAACTCAATGGTACATCCGGTCGCCTTGATTATGATAAAGCTTCTTTTTTCAGAACAAAAAAAAGACTGCCGATATTATTTATAATTCCTTTTAAAATTGAACTTGGATGGTGATTGGCTCTCATTAAACTGATTTTGAAACACTTGTGTAATACGACGATCGGCAATTTTAAAATTAACAATCTGGTTGCAAATTATATAGTTTCAGTTATTAGTTGGTACATTAAATGTATTTCGTTGTTTATTTTAAAGTTTAAACGATATTACAAGGACATAATATTTTTAATAAAAGCTGCTGAGTTTGCCCGGGTCACTAGTAGGTTCAATCATAAAAAATTTACGTTTACAAATAAGCTTTATCAGATTCAATCTGCTGCCCTGAGAATTAATTTCATTAAACTACAAACACTTCCACCACATAATTATTCTTATTACGCAATGAATTACGCCTATTTAATGTTCTAAATAGGGAATGTGAAATTCAAATGTGAATCCCTAAATTGGTTAAGAAATCTGAAGCACTTGTGGAGGTACTGAAGCATTGAAACGATATTTCAACAATCTCAAATAGTGTCAAAACGTAACGTGCTCAACAAGATGAAACGGACAAACACAAAGTAACTGTTAAGAGGAAGTATTCCTCTTGTAAGGTGAACAAAAGGATTTATATTCTCCCGGTGTGTACATATGTGCATCCAAAAGGTGTAACCCTTTGTGCTTGTTCATAGAGAGCAGGTAAAATATACGGAAGCTGTGGTAGAGTGGCTGACATTCACCCTTCAACGCACTTAAATATATCAATCATATTATGTACGCATATCAGTTGCATCTTTTGTCGTTTTTCAGATTTGACGACTTAATGACAGGCAGGTATACAATAGGTGATCTTCAAATTATCTTGCCAATTTCAGACCAGAAAATGCTTCAAATACCTTTCTTTAATTGATCACTTAATGCGCACATTCTTGATGTATATGCTGCTTTTTTTATTTTTTTGCGAAAAACAACTTCATTTCTAACAAACGAGCTCTAGTCTAAAAATACAGTTACTTGCCTCTTCTTACCTAGACAGTCACTAATTAAGTTTCATTTCTCGTGGAATTTTAATCCGATTGAAAGTCATTTAATTGTATCTAATTAATTTAAGCAAAGGCAAAAAGTTACTTTGGATTCAATGCGACATTAGAGGCATCCAAGAAAATAATTGTAAGTGTCTGCTCCTAAGAGGATAATTTCAAAGGCAACTTTCTTTATTAAAAATCTTGAAATGTCCACTATTACCTGCGTGTACGGAATATATTTACATCTATTATCTACACATTTTTCTATACTTGCACCTTCCGAGTATTCACAGGACTTGTAACAAATCGGTCATCTTCACTGAACGAGCATTTAAGAATCACATTATGCTTATGCCGTAATGAATTGAACATGATAAATATGACGGTTCGGTCTACGGAACTAAAGGTTTAAAAAGCAATTTACATAATATATCTACCGATTTATCACTGATTATTTTAGACGCATTCCTCTGCTATGCTTTAAATAATGTATCTTTTAACGCTGCTCAAAATTCGTTTTCGTACCAAAAAGCTACACCAATCACCTCACAGCAATTAAGAATTTTATTAGGAGAATTAATAGCCACATTTATTTAGTCCGCTGCTGAATTAATTATATTACATAATCTTATTTTTGAAGAATTATGCCATGTCTAATAATAAAATGTGGATGGGATTCAAAGATATGTGCCTAAAGAATTCTCTTACACATTGTTACAATTGTACAAATTGTATTACAAATATTATTGATAAATGCAAAGTACATAAAATTCACTCAAATTAAGTACTTAATTGTTTCAAATTCTGCAATAAAATGCAGCAACGTTGAGATAATATACAGATATTATTAGGTCGCGCTTACACACACGCAATAATTTATAGTGGCAGAAAGTAACATAATTTATGATATTCTTGGCGAAAATATAAGATTTACATCAAGTGGGTAGATTATGGTAAGACTTCGTCAGAGGCGCGAATGAAAACAATCAATTTCATTTGGGCGTTTTAAGTAAATTAGAATATTGGAGTAAGTTGCTGACAGAAAAGAAACGAAGCTTAAAAAGCTTGTATTAAAACTGATGGGGACGCTGGAAGATTCAAAGGAAGTCCGACCTGGTTTCATTCAGATAAAATATGTGGAACTAACAGCAGCCTCATCTGCTATTAATGGTTAAGGAGAACAAACACGAAAATACATAACTGGTTTCTGCGTTAAAGCGAATAAAAGATATGCCTTTTCAAGTTTAAAACTTTAACAGAAAACCTGCTTCATTCATACAATTAACACAGTCAAACTCGTTTATTAAGTTCATTCAAAAGTTCTTATAGTTCCGAACATAGTAATACACTATTTGCTTTGATGTAATAATTATATGGTAAACACATATGCGATTTCATTACATTTCTTTTACGGTGCCACTGTTATAAACTAGTGCTATAACAGCGTTTAAAAGCGACTATTAAATTGCAAATAAAAATGTTGCAAAACATGTCGGTTTAATTGGATCTATTTTTATTTTCTTGTAGCCGTTATTTTTATTGTTTTTACGGTATATATCGCAATGTTTTATCACAAGTAAAGGCACATTTTGCAAAATTAACAATATATTATTCCAGTCCATAACTCAATTTTTTACACATATGTAGATGTTCTATTTGAACAACCTCAAAACGTTACACGTTACCTAGATAAAATGCAGTCCAAACGAAATTTCGCAATTTATTTCGCTCAAGAAAAAATTTAAAAGATAAATTACCGGTGATTTGAAAGAGGGGCAAAAACTGCGAAACGTGATGTGAAATCTAATGGGATGTATACTTAAAAATTTTAAGGTTCTGACATTGATTGATTAAACTTCATGACTTTTCATCCCCTTGAGGAGTTCAACCCTTTTAGATCAACTAAGCAGATGCCTTATTTGTATTTCATTGTAAGCCATTCCGCATATATTACAGAAATCCATACTTTAACTCTTTGCCAATTTTTCGCTTTTAAAGTCTCAACTAAATTACTAACCAAAAGGAATATTCCTAGTGCAAGCATTTAATTTGATTTTGAAATACCGAAGAATAACCCTGATATTAATCCGATAATCCTAATAAGAGGTCAAATGCGGTAGTTGATTTTACATGCAAGAACGTTGACATATCATTACATATTCAAAAATCCGTTTGTAACAACCACCCATTTAATTTGCGAAGAAGGAATTTCTCATGCAATCAAAATGACCATCTAAAATGTCATACGGTTAATGAAAATATATGCGATGTCAATTTATGTATGAAGTCCAGTAGCTTAATGTAGATAGTTATAAGAGCTCCTACACTGGGGAATTTCAGATTGCATTCTCTTATAGATAATATGTCCATTATTGAAATGAGTTTTAAATGCAAATATGCTAAATAACCAATTTATCATCATTTTATGCAATATGACAGCGACTAAAATTACTCTTTTAAATGTATTTATTAGCCTTGCAACTTTCTGAACATTAAACTGTCATTTTCTTTATTGGATGGCTCGCAATTTTCATAAAGCTTTATCAGAGTTAATATTATTTTAGTAGCAGCACCAATATCTGGAACAAGCATTAAAGCCTATCTTTACTTTTTTCAGAAAACGTAAAGATATAACTGACTCGTCCTCACAAGGGGGCAACGTGGATTTACCAGTGGTAGGCCCACGTGGTATGGCCGAACTGCCTGAGGGGGCTACTCCTCCTGAAGACCAACAGACTTGGAGGGCTTACTACGAACATCCGTTAACAGCAGCCACAACTGCCATGCTCAATATAGGAGGAGGTGCTGAAGATCAAGCTGCCACAATGGGCTTGATTTACGAATACTACAAATTGCCATCTTTGCCCGCCGATACTAAAGACAAATTAGCAGATCTCTGGCCGTAAGTACAACATTTTTAATCACAAAGCAATTAGATTTGTCTTCCAGTTCTGTTAGTTGCGTGATTTATTCGTAAAAAGGGTTAGCCAGATTTGCTTAATGGGGTGAGAGAAAGCAAGAGGCACAATTAGGGCAGGATAGATACACCTGGGTTAATGACTTGAATAAGATCATGCGACGTAACTTAAGCCATAATTTATTTCCATCTTAGGGCCATATACAGAGAGCAAACTGCAACTGGATAAAAATAATATTACAATGTCACGCGAGATGAAAACTAGAGGCGCCCACATCACGCAATGCTCTGGTAAACTCACTTTAGATCTTTAACAACTTGTCAGGTAACGTTAGAAATGGCTTTGCTAAATTTAAGGCCCTCGTACTGTCCAGACCTGATACCGTTGTGAAATTTCATTTATGAGATGACGAAAATTGATAGGGATCTTGTCAAACGCTTCTTGTTTCGTAGCAGGGCACACTGAGGAACATAGTAAATAGTAGCATATTCAAATGGCTTGATTGGATTTTTCTTAGAATCAGCACTAATCGGTTTCTAATAAGACAGAAGCGGTCGCATCGGCATGAAATATTCGCGCTAAAGTTTATGAAATTAAGTATTCTTTAAATAATAACTTATGTTGCGAAAAGTAATTAAACCGTTAAGTTTCCAACGCTGTGTAAGGCTTTAAGTCGGTTTATAATTTTGTTTTTAGTAAGTCGTTATAGTTGCTAGCCACTACCAACTTCCCTGACGGGTTATTATTTATTCATCAGACTCTTCTTGACGGACCTAATTTGTCTAAGTTGAAGGATTTGCGTGTAATATCTGAAATTTTTCCTCCATGACTAAATTAACATAATACCACATATTAATACTACTTTACTTCACTTAATAAATCATCTTGTTTTGCATGACAACTATTTTTACTAAGGTGTTTATCAATTTAAATGGAAATTTACATTTACATTAATTTGCAAACTTATCGATAATAAACAAAATACAATAGCATATTGACTGTAGCATTTCCATAAAACTGTATATTTTGACGAAAATATTTAAAAAAGCATGACCGTTCGATCTCTCTCGAGTTTGTAAAATTTCGTAAAACGCAAATTATTTGACAATTTAGCAGCCAGCCGCAAAACCGTATTTAACCAGTAAACTACTACTAAGTCTAAGTCAATTAGACTACAGGCATGAGTGAAAGAAAAAAAATTACAAATTGGGTTCTCATAAAACTATAGGTACCTATATCTTGTCATAAAAGGTAATGAAAATCATAACTAAATTCCGAATAATAATTGGAATTATTATTACCAGAGCACGCCTTGAACTAGTAGATAAGTAAACAAAATGCCATTTATTTGAAAAATATATTTTTCCACTGGATTTTAAATGCGCACTTTAACATAAATGATCATTTATACACAGATTAAAATTAACTTCCAGGTGAACCAAACAAACAATTCAAGACGACGCATTTTAATTGATAATCGAAGTTTGACAAGGTCTATACCTAACTATATGTTTATGTAGCATCTGAAACTTGGAACTGGAGCATAGAAATGTTGCAGTGTAAAAAATTCATATTCATTACAAGTGAAAAGTGTTGATGTGAGACCATTCGACACATCGCCTAGCCGTTGAATATATTTAAACATTTTTTCACACATGCAGGATGGATGGTCTGAAAAGTGTCCTATTTACATTTCGCCCCTTTCCGGTCAATAAATCTAATACATCGAATAGTTACTCTAAATTCCCTTCGAATCTTCCATGAATATTTAAATATAAAACTAACATACCTTTAAAATCTCACGTCTGGAGGTCTATATAATTTGTAAGGGTTTCACTTGATACTATCGGTATCACGTTACTATGCAGATTCAAGATAAGTATTTTAATAATAGGGATTAAAATTACATATGTAGGATATTGTGTGGAGCAGCCAAGGAAGATCCTCAGCCCCTCTGGGAAGTGGGTAAATCGTAAACAGAGATTTAAATTTAACCATCACGGCCTTTTGAACTATTTTGATTTATCGCGGGATAAAATTATTTGCCGTAGTTTTTTCAAGCTCTTGCTCGGTTAGGGTTGTGTACCCAAAACAAATTAAAAATGGAATTTATCTGTGCCTAACGGGATTTTCTATTTGACTCACATTTTTCTGATTGATATCGTTACGTTTGATGTAGAAATTCCCGATGGTAGAATTGAAAACCATCTCGACAAACAATTACTACGTTTATGGGGCAATAAAATTATCGCTACTAAAAAACAGCGTTTTGTTAAGTCTCATGTTACCGACAATTGTTAACTATATTGCGCTATTAATGTCCAATCACATCAAGACATTGTAGGTGGAAGCAAGCCGCTCATTCGAATCAATTTTACAACCCGACGAAACAAATCAAATTTTATTTTTCATTTAATGAAGTCAAAGAGGTTAAATGCTTTTTCACTTAGCAAATTATAAAATGCCAACGTTTTGAATAGCTAGGGCTTGAACCCTCCGTAACGGCTAATGATTATTTCAAAGGCAAAATATAGCCAGAAGGCAAATAAAACAAAAATGGTCTATGCAGGAAAGATAGTAGTTTACAAGAGCCGCATAGTACCTCCTCAGTATACAATTGAAAATACAAAAATAAATCCGTACAAATTATGCAAACGTCTGAGATTCAGCAGCCGCTGTTCAGTAGAATTTTTTACGTTAATCCTATTGTGCTTGTCGTAATATATAGTGCGGCGATACAACCCAAATGACTATAAATTCTCGTCGGGACGTTTTTATTCTAAAAAAGATTCGCATATATTTTATGCTTATTTTTATCTAACCGTTTCGGTTTCCGCTATCTCCGTTCCGTCTCGAGATTTTTCAAAGCTTTAATTTACGTGGGAGTTCAAAATGTTTCTTTCAAAAACTTGCACAGCTCAACAATATCTGAATATTGTTGAGCTGATTTGTCTGATTGATCTGAAAACTGATTTTGTCCTCGATTTATCAAAAATAAAATTTTCCAGTGACTCAAGTTAGTTTCTGATGCAAATTATTTGCAGTTACAGATTCATCGGCAGCGTCATTTTTCAATCATTGTATGTACGTCTCTTTATCGAAAAATCTCTTTATATTTAAATGAGGTTCTTTGGACTAGCCTATACTTGGAATTTACACCAATTAATAATACGCATACGTTGCTTCCTCCCTAATTAATCAGATCGTGATCATAAAAATATTGGCATTGTAATCCATTAGAACGGAGACATCACTTAAGGAGAATGATCTTATCTGTTCACTGAAATTAAATCCAATAGAAACATTGCTTGTAACACGGGCTGACAAGACCTGAAACGCTATCCTACATACGGAACTCTTGATAAAATGTGACTTTTTCGCTACACTTTCCACTAAGATTGAGACTTAATTGACTGCTCATATTGCCGAGGGGTCAGTGTTGATTAATTTCATAAAATTCAGTTGATATATTTTGCTGACTCGAGAAACAAGATGTCGATTTTTGTTAGAGTTTGCGGCCTAATTGACTATTGATGTCTCCGGGCGTTGGTTTTTGTCCTCACAACCGTTCATAAAATTTAGTTTCGCTATTTGCCTCAATATAATTAAACAAGCTTTAAATGTGGTTTGTTTTCACTAAGGATTTCATCTCAATTGACTGCTGATAACTGCGATAAATCCTGTTTGCTATTTATCTTATGTTATAAAGCCCGTATCGGTGCTTGGAACGTTTTTTTTTAATTACACACCAAAGTATAGTGTACCGTTTTGAAATAAAAGAAAACTGCTTGGTAAAGGACTACTTCTTAACTGACATGACCTGAAATGCCTTCGGTAGGTATAGAGCTTTAATTATTGCGCTTGAGTCATTTGTCTGTAATACATTTGCAAGTTTTTTCGCCAAAGTCGTCTTTATTTTGTTAGCGGGGGTAAACTGATATTGAATTTATGTTTGTAAATTACTGGGAAAAGATCTACAGAGTATTATTTCACCTACGAATGTCTAGTTTCAAGATAAAAATTGAAAATTAGATTTTTTTACGCCGATGTTTTCACTAGAGCAACGAAAAATGCAGACATTTTTGTTTAATATATTTTTATTATCTTTGTCTACATTTAATTCAACAACGCTTAGACGTAAACTCATTTGAGGATTGGCGCAAACTGAAGCTATGTCAGAATCATTATTATGTGTTTGATTCCAGTCTATCTTGAATGAAACTGAAATGTATGCTTGTTTCTAGTCTAATAGAATTTATCTGTGAATATCTCATATTGATATTGAATTTTTCCGCAACTTGTCTGCTACTTCGAACCTAGTGCAGACTGATGCTAGACTCGGAAAAAATTCCAATAGTGACTTTTGACTTGAAACTCGGTATTCACAGGTACCGTTTTCCGATATCTCTAACATGAATCGCAACGTGGTAGTAGGTTGGGTTTATATCTGAAGTTAGATATGAATGTCCTAAAAAATTACCAAATCATGACTACTTCTGGGCCAAAACTGAAAACCCTGCAGCTAAAAATAAGTAAAATACAGAGCGTTTCCATCTTAAAAGCGACACACTGTATTTAAAGATGTATGTACAAACTAATTTCTTTTTTTTTTTGGTGAGGATTAAGAAAATGTAATTGGTTTGCTTGACGCGACCGAATGGCATTTTTGATGAAGCGTCAAACAGAGGAAGAAACTTTGACTTAATCTAGCGCTAGAATCTAACATAGACTGGTTCAATCGTCGACGCTAATCGTGATTACCGCGACCTGCAGACCCGGTCACCTTCACAATGCCGAAGCTCGAAAGCACGCGCTGTTCAACACCAGCACGTGATCCAAACCGTCTAGTATTCCTTTCTTTACTTCATTAACCAAAGAAAACATTTATGTCGGATTCCAGCCTTCACAGAACCATGAATTTTGATTTTCTAATGGAATTTCACTTGTGGCTACTAGTCCACTAGATTTTCCCAAAACTATTACAGAACTGTCCGTTCAATAGCACCTTAAGTCTTTTAAAAATGCCATGTCGGATATCAATACAACCCTTTCAACTTTAACATGAAATTCATTTGCTTCGCTTCACGGTGGGGTTGATATGAAAGTAAAAATCAAAACAAAAAGTGGTGACGCCAACGGAAATACAGCCGAAAAACTTTATACGGCGTACCATATTTGTAGCCTAAGAAACATCCTGTTTAAATGCGTAAAACTGAAAGTGAAGCAAACTGGAATTAGATATTTGCGCTTATTAGGAGAAAATCGGGTTTTGGACAAGCTTATCGCAAATACGCCAAATCGGGAGTCCGAACGAGGCTCCTAAAAACTTTTACAGACAACTGTGCAATGAAGAAGAGGACTTTCTTGATCCCTTATTATACTTCCAAATTGTTTTACCCCGCATGAAACTTTAGTAATGCGGCAACATCATAGCAGAGTAATGCAGACGAAAAATAGAATTTTTGTGTAAGGCCAGTGGCGTGTCAAAATGTAAAGGGTGGCGAATTCAGGCCGACAAATCTCGGCCGACAATAGCATTTGTAATGTGTCGGCTACGTGAAACCCCACCATATGATGTGTGTATGACGTAATATATTTGTTACAGTCCGAGTTCTCAAGCTGGCGGCATCCTAACGTCGCAACTGAAAGCAACCAATGGATTAGTAAGCGGGGCGGGATTAGAACTGACGACTCCGCCCCTGAACAGCGCCGGTCAATTGAGTTCCCAAGAGTTTCAAGGTTTATTTATTAACCAACACGTTGGGTACGCACAGCCTACGGGCACGGGCGGACAAAATTTGCAGATCGTAAAACGAGAACCCGAAGACCTCAGCCATCACCGGAAACTGGAGTGTAGCTCGCCGAGTTCCGGAAGCCTGGACGGATCTATAATCATTTCGAAGCAATCCCGACCAAAGGTGATTATTTAAGTGAAAATGTGCCATACAAATTGTTCATTGGTGGCGTGGATCTGGGGCTTTCTTGTGTTTGTGAAGTGCTTCTGTGTGAAAGATTTCGTGATATTATTCAAAGGGAATCAATCGTTGTTATGCTGTGAAATAAGCCGATGTGGGATCGTGTCAAATTCGATTTGAATTTGAAACTGGAGAATGATATGGATCTTGTTGCCATTCTCCTATAGGTAGATTAAGCAAAGACCACCCCGCCCTTATGTTCTCTGTAGTTTAGTGCATGTTAAAGCTGGTAGAATTGAAGTAGGTTAGTCCTAGGGCCACCTAGAGCAGCATGCATCACTCTCAAAATGTAACGACATCCCTTGGTGATTATAGGTGGTGTTGGTTTCCTCGGGTGGGAACCACCCAACGGATTTGGTAGTAGACGTGAACTCAATCAAGGACGAGAGCCATCGAGGCCTCAACTCTCCTCAAGACGGCTCCCGATCGATTAACGGCACTCCAACTTCGACTCACAGCAGCCTTTTGGCAGACGGATCCAACACGGGGCCGATTGAATTTATCTCCACGGATGGACTCAAACCGGCGATGTACACGACGCAGATATTCGCCTCTATGAACAGTGCTGGCCATAGTGGCAGTGGAACTCCATCTCCTACTCCATATAGTGATCACATTCAATACGGCCAAAGCACCATGGGAGGCGGTCCAGTTGGATCTGGATCCGCTATCTACTCCACTTCTTCCGGCAGGCCAACAAGCTCTGGTGCTTTCTCAGTATCTGCTGATCCGTATTATCGGGAATATTTTACAACAGTTGCATCGGGCGGGGCAACTCCAGAGCCTGTATACTCTAGTCAGCTCAGGCAGGGACAGTTGTCCTATGGAGAAGAAGTAGCTAGTGGAGGTGCTACAGCGAGTTTCGTAGAACGTTACGTAAGACAAGCTCAGTATCATGGCAAAGGCGTTATTGCTGCTGCGGGTCTTACCGTTGATCTACCTAGTCCGGATAGCGGAATTGGGGCCGATGCCATCACACCTCGCGACCAGAATACGCTGCAGCAGGTGAGCCCTAGAAAAAACCTACATCCAGCTCTTCCACAGCACCTATTTTTTATTCTCATATTCTCAATACTTTACAAGCGGCACAACCACATCCGCGAGTGGTTTTTGTTTCTCACTATCATGGTTGGGGATTGTTTGATTTACTTTTAGTCTTAAGGAAATCACTTAGGTACCTACTACTAACAACCGATTTGCAGTTCTAGACTATTCGCCCAAAAAATCTATACTTAGTTTAATCGGCAGCCACATGCGTTTATTTCATCGACCAACATTCGACCGCTAAGTTAAAAAAGGCTTTTTAAGTTTCTAATTAAAATAACCTTTCACTAAAATTTGCCATTAGAGTTGAAGCTTTCGAGTCAATGTGTTTTTAATGGCCACGAAATCCCCAAACGCATTTCAAGGAAATCTTCTACCTTTCTAACTCGGGCTGCGGACAAACACTAAGCGCTTATGTATGAAACATCAATAACAATTGTATATGTACATTATGTTGCCTGTTTATTTTGTAAAGCAACAAAGATTGGTTCATCAAACATAAGGGCGATTCTGAGATTTTGAATCCCGTTACTTGTGCCAACCTTTGCAGCGCTTTTTTCGTTTCTTAAATTTAGTTGTTTTGAGTTATTTAGGAAAATGCCGTTATTTTTCAGTCATTCGACTACACAGAATTGTGCCAGAATAATTCATCCCTCCTGGACCCGCTCTCCTTATCGCAAAGGAGCAATGGCAGCTCACAATCTCCAGGAGCGCACAGCACCAGGAGTAGACCTTGGCACGACTTTGGACGTCAAAACGACGCCGACAAGATTCAAATTCCAAAATTGTAAGTATTTTTCAATTTTAAAAATAATTTTCGTTCATATGCGTTTGATGTTACTGCACGTAAAATGACCTGTCTGGACAGACGATGGTCTTGTATAAATATAAGTGCTTTTTTATGGCTGCCAAAATGTGAGAATTCCGACCATTTCCTCAAAAAATAACGAAATAATATAAACGTATCAGCAGCATGTGTCAAGTCCCTTTGTATTGTGGGAATGTGTTACTTCTCCACTTCTCGGAAGTGGACTAAATTCCATTAGCTAGTTATGCGTGGAACATTAAAAGCAAACAATGTTTTGTGACCTCGCGTATTATAGTAGAGTTATAGACCCACTACGTAAAGTGGACAAACTAGCTTCAAGTTTTATATCAAGTACCATCTGTCTGATTCCGTAAAACTGTTGTCCGCCACTATCAAAACCAGCTAAAAAACTAGTTTGCATTATTTCAGTTGTGCATCGTAGATTTACCAACATTTGCATGTTTCAAAATTCGTCATGAGTGTCAAGTACTATTACAACCAGCTTTGTAATGTCCAAACTCGGGTCAACAGGTCTCGTGCATTCGAGCCATCCACCTGTCTTTGTGTCTTTTACCTTAAACATAAAACAAGTTCTTTTATGTCCCATATTAATGCTTTTTACAATCGTAACTGTAACACTTCACATACCGACAAGCAATTAGTTTTCTTTAAATATTCGCTACTTACTTTTTTCCACTAAGCTTTTAAACGGAACGACTTAATTGCCAAAAATTTACCCATGGTGTAAACCGCTCTTACTCTTTCTTACCGTAGAACATGCCACTATTTGGATTAAATGACAGACTTAAAGTTATACAGAATTTCAAAATTGCTGGTTGAAATCTGACTGAATGAGTCGCGTCGGGCGATAGTCAATCAAGTTCATTTACATTTTTTTGCTTGATAGTTGAAAATATTTTGAAAATATTTTCAACTATCAAGTTGAAATTATTTTACAAAATTGAATGATTTGTTTCAGATTTTCACCCTATGGCTTCAAATATCACCTGGAATCGCCCATTTCAACTTCACAAAGACGGGAGGATGACAGGATTACGTACATTAACAAAGGGCAGTTTTATGGAATCACATTGGAATACATTCCAGATCCGGACAAGCAACTAAAATCCCAAACTGTAAAGGTAAGTCGGTTGAAATGACCCGAATTTATATGACCATATATTAACGCCATTAAAATACAAAGTGTTAGTATTGATGTTAATAAGACGTAAAACTCTTCTTCATCATCAATAAAGAACTTTTTCAAGTTTAATCATATTTTAGGTGAGATTGATATTTTATTGATTTTAAAATCGCATAGCAAACTCATCGCAAAACGTATTAATTTATATTATTAAAGTTAATTAACCACGTATATAAACTTTCGTATTAATTGGTATAATTAAAGGTAATTCCACTGGACATAGTCTTAATGACCGAGTAGGTATATAATTGTAAATTGTCTTCATTAGAATTGCTGCATTTTGTCATAGGAAAGAGAAGACTGATCATTACTCATGACCATAAGTGGAATCGAATGTCAACGGAGCTAGTTTTTTGGTCAGATTCTCGATCGGTAATTGGCTTTCAACGTGAAATGCTTAACTGCTAATTCTTCATAATTTCATAAAAATACAACGATCCCATACATACCAATGAACACGACAGACTTTTTTTCGAATACGTTTATTGAGCTTTCCTTTTTAGTTTTAAGTTAAAGTATAAATGGATTAGTTTTTGTTGCAGAAAAATGATTATTATAACGATATCGCAGTGTAAAGTGATCATTAAAATCATACTCTAATTAGACCGTAGATCAAAGTCACTATCAAGCTTCGAATCCTGCCATATGTAAATCTGTTTAATTGACATTTTATGACATCAATAATAAACGAACGGATACTTTCAAAAGTAAAATGTTTGGTCATAAAAAGCAGCAATGTTTCTATTTAAATAAAATTCTGTCGGTTATTGCACTAAATAACATACATACTTATTTCCATTACCAACATTTTTTGTCTTTCCAAAATTCATGTTTATTTATTAATGCTAATGGAATCATTTTGCTTCAGTTTAAATTGGAGTTTAATGAAATTTCTAACCAAAGATCCAATTTAATCAATTACTCACAAAATCCATCAAACCAAATTATAGTGTGTCAGTACTTAAGCGACAACCTCGATGAATGCCAATTACTTATTCTAGAAATAAACTTCTAATAATCGGTGTTGCAAGATCGCGTATTTGAGAAAAATATGTTTGCTATATTATTTTTCGTTTTTTTTTCCATGACATTTCAGAAGAAAATGCAATTATTTTTAAAAGCTTTAATAAATAACTTGGAATATACATCTTTTTTTTAATGTTCAGGGTGGTGATTACATTTTTCACTTCTTGAGCTTATCTTTTTCCTGCTTCCAAAAGAGAATTTCCAATCTTCTCTGTGAGCCTCAACTGAATCCTGTAAAGTTAATAGCGATTTAATTCTCCCCATTTCTAATAAGTATCAAGCCATGTCAGAAGTAATTAACGTGCAACAACCTTCTCAGTAGCATCGCTAATTAGATATTAAAATAAAATGCACTACACCATTTGAGATAATCGAAGATAGAAGGAACACTAGACTACAAATAGTGATGTAAAGTAGAAGACATGCTCGCAATTTGCTAAGACGAGTGTAAATGTTCTTTAAATGGCGAGTTTTATCAAAGACGATCCTCAAGTCCGATGCACAATTTATTTCTAAAATGTTCTTTCTGTTTACTAATACATTTTAATTCACTAAGATAACAAAGTGAGATACAGCGAGTGGGTATCTAAAAAGCAAAGCGCAGTTACCGCTGCATTAAGGCGAAATGTTATTTTCTGTAAATCTCATACATTTTAAGCTCATTTCTATGCTAATGAATTAATATAAGTGCATAACCTTGTTTTTAATATTATTTTGAACTGAGAAGGCTTATGTATTTGTGACTTTTGTAATCAAGAATTCTTCTATTTTCTTTCGTGCTAATTAAACGTGTTCCAGGAAAACATGAATCGCTATTGGAATGCCAATCAATGAATCCGAATTAACCAAAATATATGCCACGCAGTTTAATTAATTATCTCGCAAAAAATAATTTATAGTTTCCTTTAAAGTAATTGACTTTGAACGAGTGAATGAAAATAAAGCAAAATAACTTCCAATAATTTGTGAACGCAATTCACTTGCAAAGGCCACGGCTTCCTCATTAATGGAATCTCGATGCGTACATGATGTTTTAAAAAGACGCAGAACTTAATCGTTTTTTCGAGCACATTAATACAATTTTTATAATCACAAAATGTTACCTGCCTGCAAACAATAAGCAATAATTCTTACAGTGTAGATAAAAGGTGATAAAGACCTGCAGGTTGAATAAAAATTGGGCCGTTCGATTTTATATTGTTTTTTTTTCTTCCTTTACAGAGCATTGTTATGCTGATGTTCAGAGAAGAGAAAAGCCCAGAAGACGAAATAAAAGCTTGGCAGTTTTGGCACGGTCGACAACACTCGGTGAAACAACGAATTTTGGACGCAGGTAAGCCGATTTCATTTTTATTTTCTTTTCGTTCGTTCGTTCTTGTTCCTGCACTGCTTCCTGCGATTTTCAACCACGTCATTATATAGCTGGACTAAAAGAGATTTATTGAAGATTGAAGATGTGCCGTCCCCAAAATTTTGCTTCTAATTGGCACTTAAAGAAAATGTGATTATTTCATTAAGCTCTCGATCAATGTTGATTTTTAATTGTCGACTGCAGCAAAGAAACTTTTTCGGTTTTTTCTGGAAAATTATTTCACTTGTTCTGGCATATTTTCGCGCAAATGGAATATTGAAATTGGTAGATCTAGATTTAAATGTTGAGTCTGGCCGCGCATTTGGATTTTATGTTCTCTGTACATTAAACCCAGAAAAAGCAACGTAGAAAGTTTATTTTGAAGGGAGAAAGTTAGTGGTACTCAGTAATGGCATGTCATCAGGTAGTAGATATTATTTTCTGCCGCAGCTGATATTAACAGCTCAACTTTATATAGCACACAAAATAAGACCGAAGCTAAAAATCAGATTTCTACAGCATTTTCGATTAGAAGATACCGGACTGGTTTGAGTAGGCGAAGGGCATCTATTATCGCAGAAATACTATCCGTACATACAATTATAATTATCTGAATATTCAATGTAGTCATTTAATGGTAATTTCTGGGAGGGAATGTATTAACCTTTAAAAATGTTGATAAACGTTTAAACTTTTCATTATTTGGAATTAGTACTGATTAATGTTGACTATTGGAAGGTTGAAAAAAAATCAACAGAATCTATGCCAAACGGTAACAGAGCAGAGCAGGATAAGAGTAATTATAAGACTTCTCACATTCAGAGTGAAACATGTTACGCTGCGATACTTATACAGGTTTTCTTATCAGCTTTAAATAATACAAACATGTAAGGTATAGGCTTTCTAGCATTTGTTCTAAGATCAGCATAATTTGTTTTAGAAATTTATAGTATAATGTCATCGCATGCAGCAGTAGGTATTCGAGGGACAATTTATATGGATATAATTTAGCAAAATGAATAATGCCATTTTATAAATAACCCCACACATGTGGAAGAACAAAATAGTATCGATACTACCCACGGGTACTACCCACGTAGAGAATTCTCTATAACTGAAAATGTTAAAAGAGATTAGGTACCCACATTGATACTGTTACAGTCTTGGTTTCCTTTATTATCGTTGATGCAAAACCCACTATTACATATTACAATTGTAGCCATATTTTTCTTGTGACAGGATACTAATTCTATCTAAAACATAATGCAAATTCTTACATAAGGGCATATCTAAGTGAAGCATGTAAAGTTAGATTGCCAGTATTACAGGCACACTAGGAATATTACAGCATATGTGCCAATTCGCGCTTTGCTCGTTTATAATGAAATAAATTGAAAATTATTTAAAAAGGAATAGGTAACACGTTGGTTGTGTAAAGGTCATATCAACGCCCACACACATATTTACGAATACATTTTAAGAGCATACATATACTGACCATATCTATGCCATTAGCATTTCTTATTCTCTTGGATTAGACTTAATTACAGTCATATATTTTTGCCATAAGAACCTAAAAATGTCATGTTAGATTGTGATGGGATTCGTTTAGACGCCAGATGTAAACAAACATGTTTACAGGAATTATGGTTTCATTAAAATTCAGGCTATTTTTAGGTATTTCTCATTATGGTATAAAGTCAAAATCGATAAATATAAAATTTTATTGGCGACATTTCAAAAAGTAATTTATTTGTCTATTGTTTACATGCATCCAAGTTGATGATTTAATGTCGGTAAGTCTAGTGAATTTTGGAAATCGTCGATAAATATATCGCTGCAAATGGTTCAATGATGAAATACGCTTTTCAGACACCAAAAATAGCGTTGGACTAGCGGGATGCATTGAAGAAGTCGCTCATAACGCTATCGCGATATACTGGAACCCAATGGATAGCCCAGCGAAAGTAAGATCATCTTCAACTATTTAAACGAGAAATGAAGAAAACTCTAAACGGATATCGATTTTTCAGATTAACATAGCTGTTCAATGTCTGAGTACCGACTTCAGCAGCCAAAAGGGGGTTAAAGGATTACCACTACACTTACAAATCGACACATACGAGGATCCTAGAGACACCAATCTATTTCACCGCGGCTATTGCCAAATCAAAGTGTTCTGTGATAAAGTGAGATTTATTGACGATGGAAGATAGGATTAGTAGGAATACATACCAAACTCTTTTACAGGGAGCCGAACGAAAAACTCGAGACGAAGAAAGAAGAGCAGCAAAAAGAAAAATGACCGCGACGGGCAGGAAAAAGCTTGATGAACTGTATCATCCAGTATGCGAGAGGTCTGAGTTTTACACCATGAGTGATCTTGCGAAACCGCCTGTCTTATTTTCTCCCGCCGAAGATATCGATAAAGTAATACAGCAAAATGTCAACAGTTCAACATAATTATATCGCGTTTTTTCACAGCTGACATCAATGGAACTTCAAGGCTTTTATACACATGATCCCGATGGTTCTCTATCGGGCCCAGTGGATCATGTGAAAGCAGGTTCGCCATTCCTACTTCATGCTGCTTCAAAACCACCTACGACCCCCACACTTAAATTTCACAACCATTTCCCACCGGACGCGGACAAAAAGGAAAACATCTTGGATGCCACCTTAACACAAGACGGTTCAGTTTTTTCTCCCCCCATAAAAAGAACAAAACTTCTTAGCCAAGGGAGCGCTGGTCCCCCGCCTCTAAATGAGCGTGTTATGTTGTACGTGCGACAAGAAAACGAAGACATTTACACCCCTCTGCATGTGGTGCCACCAACAACACAAGGTCTACTAAATGCTGTAAGTACAATTTGATGCAATCAGTTAACGCTTTAGCTTTACATGCTTTAAGGGCTTCCCGTTTGTACAACTAACTTTTGGTTTGTGAATGTATGCATATTTGTCTAAATAAGGTCATACATTTCCGATCAGGCAGATTTGCGTAATTTACTAGTGGCGTTCTTTTAGAATAGGAAACAATGCAACATTTTAGTCAGCCTTGAAAAGCGTTCTAGCAGATGCAATTATGTTGTTTCGAATATTAATCGGAACTCATAATGTTAGATGCGACTTAAAAATGCAAACCAAAAGTTAAATAATTGAATTCTGAATATTGTGGAAGCCCTATGCTTAAAGTGCATGGACCTGGACGTACTGGGCTTTTATCTTTAAACACATCCCATATAAGGATCAATAACAAAACTAAAAATGGCATGTACGATTAATTAACATTACAAGCCCAAATTCTGGTCGGAAGCAGTGAAACGACACCATCGAAACTAGTTTTTAAGAAACTTCTTAAATGGCATAAAAACCAATTATTTCTCTGCTGTTTAAAGTAATCCAGTCGAATACGAAGGGTATGTATACTGTACACGCACAATACTAATATTCCAGAAAAAATTGTATCAGGAACTCAACTAACAGTATAAAAAATATCTGCAAACACCGAAAAGAATTTGGGCCAATTTTTATTTACATTACCAATGTGGGATCAGTTCACTTTTTCGACCTCTACGTATCTCTCTCAAGCAAAAGCTCAGTACTTCTTCTAAATCAATGCTAAATCAAGAAAGACAGAACTATTCACTAAATGTCTTTTTCTTTCAAAAAATTAATTCTGTTTTACTTACTTTGCAGATTGAGAATAAGTACAAAATTAGCGCTTCAAGTATTAATAACTTGTATCGCAAAAACAAAAAAGGGTAAGTTTTTAGAGAAAAGTTATAGAATTAATAGCCAAGTAGTTGTAAAGAAGTGAACTGGACACTAACGGTCTAAGGCCCAGTATTATAGGTTGCGGTAAAACAGTGTTAAAATTTACAAAAGTCTGGATTAATTTTTAAATTTTTAAGTTTCAAGTTAAAATCGAACCTATAAAACTTGGCGTAAGCACTAACAGTTCGCATTTTACTAACTACAGACGGGTTTGTCGATCACATATCATCAATAGCGATCCAAAAAGCAAACAAGCATTGCTTTTAAACGTAACAGTGTGTTGGGTATTTTTCTATCAACATTGATTGCTATTTTAACATGGACGATCTTAAATTATTTAATCTTAAGGAACATTTTCATATTCTATTCTGGTAATTGTTGTAAAGAATGTGATTGCCTGATTACTTTTGTTGAGTTCGGTACTTTTTTCTAAATTGAACTATTTTGCTTTTAGCATTACGGCCAAGATTGATGATGATATGGTCGCATATTACTGCAACGAAGATTTATTTTTACTCGAGCTCAAAGCAGTCGATGAAGACTTATACAACATAACATTTGTGGAACTCATGGACCACTAAATATTACAAAACGCCAACTGATATTATTTTTACGTTCTTATCATTATAATGTTTGTTGTGATTTTTTATGTTACGAGCAATGTGCAGAACTTTATTATTATATTTGTTTATAGTAGAATGTTGATTTTCTGATTACTATATCGATTTACATAATCAAATTAAGTTATTGTTAGCTATTGTTTTTATTTTTTTTATTGAAACAAACATTGAATGTTAAATTTTTACACTTTTTGAACAGTGGCAATGATTGTATTATTGTTTAAAGAAACTGCGTGTTAATTTAAAGCGTATTATCTGACTTAAACATGATATTCAGTTTCTTATAATTGTTTCGAAAAATACTCCAATTGTATGAATTGTTTGCTTGTGTAAAAAATTCCTGAAAAATCATGAAACTGAGCATTGTGGTTAAACTAAAAAATATTCGCGATGTGTTTTGTATACGTTTAGAAGATTTAAATTTCCATGTTCAAGGGACTAATCACAGATCTCCAACTTGAATTAAAACTTAGTACTTGCGACATTTCTTTTATGTTATATATCTAATTTAGTAAATTTAATTTATTTATCTAGTACTCTTGTTCCATGGATATGTATAGTGATCTAGCACTCACTGTAGATCGATGATTTGTTTTCACTATACTCAAATATGTGAATTTATGTTATATTGTGCCAGCGTAAAATCTGTGACTAGTCCACTTCAAATATTTTATTGTATTAAGTTAATTAATATCATGATCGATACAATTTAAATTAAGGTTTAGTATCTACGAATGGTGGCTGTATTAATATGGTTGAAACGAACAACAAACGATCACAACATTATAGTACCCACAAAAATGTCAGGGACAAGTCTTGTTTAATTTTACAAGCGTGGTTCATAAAATGCTTCTTACTATGCCTTACGCAATATTTCCCCATAATAATGCGTAGGGAGATTTCTCATTCATGAACAATACATTGCTGTATATTTAATTTACAGTTGGTCACCCATAAATGATCTCAAAATTAAGGTATGGATGTTTTACTGATCTTAATATCACAGTTGATACAGAACCTTCCAGTTCAAGTGTTTTGTGGGACAGAAATTTTAAAAGATAGATGCATTGTATATAGCTTAGGAGTTTATTGATTTGTATATAATGCGTTATGACGTAGAGATAAACACTTTAAGTGTTGTGATAAGAACTACTTACCCATTGGAAAGAGAAAAAAATGAAGAATGTACACAAAGGTTACATCTCAAATGTGTAACTGCTAACCAATAGTAATTTTGTAGTAAAATCCAGTAAAAGAGCATTGATTTTACTCAATTTAACGTAAACAGGTCGATTTTTGATTAGCAGTAACATTCACATCAGACGTCTCCTTGTTTTTTTTTTAAATTTCAAGTGTCATGCTATTAAATAGTTATTCAATAGACATAAATATCAAGAACTGAACAGATAGATAAATGGAAAGTCAAAGTACCTGATCTATGCTCTATATCTTCCTTGCTATTTATACAAAACTGTTTTATAAAGGCCAAGTTTGAAAATTTAATTTTTGACATACCTTTTGAAGTACAGTTCTTCAGATAGTTCTCATCAGAAGAAATTTTTTACTACATGTCTACGTGGTACTGATCTGATTAAAAAAGAGATTGTATTTGTAAATGTTTTATTTTATAATTTATTCCATTAAACGTACAACCTATGTAGTCAGTTGTACTGTCTCAAACTTGATATTAGGTATTTAGCTTAAGTTAGCTCTCTGTATTCAAACTTTAGTTTAAACAGTTGTTTAAGACGTAATTTTGAAACAACGATTCGGTCTATTCGACGCAAATGATTCAACAAAGAACAGTCGAGTTGACTATATTCGCAATATTACTTAAGATTTTTTATAAATGTAGACTTCTTGATTTTATAAATAAAATTATATATTATATATTTTATTATTTGTTTTCATACCCCAGCTTTTATAATGCCATTCGCAAAAGTGATTAGATCGATAATAAGAAACATTGCGGAGTAAAGGTCGTGTCGCTCCAAAACGGCTTAAAATGGGGCAAACATGTGATTATTTTGGATCTGAGGCGGCCAGGGTGATTTTCAACGAGCTGATTGAATTCTGGGCTTTCTTGAGATAAAAAAGATGTAGAGTTCGAAGAATTTTGAGACAATTGATATTTTTTCAAAAAAATCATATCAAAATTTCACATGCTTGTTTTTTAACCCCAATGGACAGTTTCCGACCTAAGAAGCTCGCCAATGTGCAAATATAAAGTGTTTAGATTTAAAATAAGTAAAAAATCGTCTAAAATGGGGTAAAAAAATTGATTATTTCGTCCACATAAGAAATGTGAAAATTATTTTGGATCAGAAGTCCGTCGTGTTTTTTATCAACTCGCTTCATTCTTCGTCTCTTTCTGGTCAAAATGATGTAGAGTTGAGGTATTATTTTTTGCAAAAATCGACCAAAAATCAAATCTTAACAAGCGTGCTTTTTTAACGCTTAACTTTTTGCGCTCAGTAGATTGTGTTAATAAGAGTCGTGAACGCTAAAAAACAACTTAAATGGGACAAAAATGTCGATCAGTTTGAATTTGAGACTTCTAGCGTGTTTTTAAATAAGCTCGATGCATTCTTGAGGGTTGAGGCTCCCTTGAGATGAAAATACCTACTGATCATCTACTGATGTACTCAAATTCAAACTCATCGACATTTTCGTCCCATTTTAAGTTGTTTTTTAGCGTTCACGACTTTTATCAACACAATCTACTGAGCGCAAAAAGTTTAGCGTTAAAAAAGCACGGTTGTTAAGGTTTGATTTTTGGTCGATTTTTGCAAAAAATAATACCTCGACTCTACATCATTTTAACCAGAAAGAGAGTCAAGGCGTTTTGAAAGAATATTTATTTTTCTTCAACGCCGAACAAGACGAACAAGAACAACGGGACGAGGTCATAGAAGCCTCTCAGTGAACACAGAGAAAATTAATTTTATTTTCCCTATGGTAAACATCAACGGTTTTTCGTCGAGTGCGATCTCTTATTACTCTTTGGCAACCCTGCACGAATAAAAATCAATGCTTTAGGGCATGTTGACAGGTTTCTCCCAAAGTAGTAAATCCGTGTAGGTAAATTCCCGTTTTAGAGAATATAGCGGCTTAACCTTGTTAAGAAAGAAATAGTAGCAGTTAACCCAAACCGAAGATCAAGTACAAACTAAATATAGGTTTGACAAATGCGCGATACTTTTCGAACTGCGACAGCCTGAATGTAGTTGTCTTTGTTATCTAATAAAACAGCACTAAATTTCTATGACTGAAAATTGATCAAAAAGCGCATTTCAGCAAAAAATCCACTAAGGATAGTTGTTGAAAAGGGATTTTCAATACGGCGAGCATATTTCTAGTCGCGTACGTGAGGGTCTGATCACCGAGATAATCACCTAAATATTTATTCTGCTTCCGAAAAAGACTTTGTTTCTTATATTCGAATTTAAAAAGTTGGAGCCAAGATTGGAACACATTCGAGCATTTCAACTGGCCGTTAGCCAACATCGCCTCTGTTTATTTACTACCACGAACCTCAAATGTGCCAGTCAAAATCGAAAATATCTTTACCTGCAGTTGTGGAGGGGGTTTGATGGAGAATTGTGTGTTTTGTATTTGAATGTCGATATTGATGAACAAAATTTTTGCCATTTTACGAAACTATGTCTGAAAATATTGAAATTCGAACGATAATTAGCAATAGAAACATAAATCAAGTCTCTGATAGCCCAGTAACTGACCCTGCAGCTGGTGCCAAGGTAAGTTCCTTTAGATTTTCCAAATTAAAATCAAACCCCATGGTGAATGCAAAACAAGACAGACACTTAATGTTATTATTTTATATATCGAACAACGTTATCACATCGAATTAACCTATCGTTATCGAATTACAAAGACTATGCAAAGAATTATGTGTGCCCTTAATATAATATATTTTCTGTTTCTGATGTGCATCATAGTTAAGTGAATATTTCTTATTATTGCATCAAGCTTTATTTAAGGTGTTAATTTTTTTACCATTTATATTTGAATTAATTTTCCAAATGATGCTGATCCACTAAAAAGTAGGATGTTAATTGTTTTGTAAACAACTAAACAATTCGTCACATTAAATCGCAATGGAACTTTTATTAGCAGCAATAACTGAATGTATTTATAAAACGCATGTTATGGCTATCAACTTTAAAACAATCAGTTAGTTACAGATTAATACACCAGTTTCTAATTAGAAACTTGATAGTTATTCACTAAGTTTGCCTTCCAACAGTTCTGCCAATAGAATTGTATTTTTTTTATCAAACTAGCCGCATCTTTGGCTTTATCACAAATATTATTACAAGCTCTTAGAATTTATGTCTGGATTGATTCCAACTTAAACCCCAACTGCATTCAAATACATTTTAACTAATAATTTTTGCTTGTTCTATTTTAGAAAGATCCAAATAGATTTTAAATTGCATAACATTATACACTTGGCAGTCAGTTATATTTTTCTAGCAACGAGATTTTACGATAATAATAATTAAATATAACAATTACCCGAGATGGCACTTTTGATAAGGGCGTAGGGCCGTTTAAAAGGGGCAAAACTTGTTCGTATTTCAGATTTTATGAACTGCATCTGCATTTATGTTAGGACATCAAGTAATAGCGTGCAAGTCGTTCACATGTTATATAGAAAAAAGCTATATAACCAAACCAAACGACCTGTTAATAGAGTAAGTTGAGTTAAATCAACGTATTTTCACCCTGGTACCCCCGAGGAAAAATCTGTTATTACCAAATATTAACAGACATTGAATTTAGTCTAAACCAGCTACTTAAGGCTTTATTGGTAATATTCTTATTTCTAGGGTTTGGAGGGAAGTAACGCTTTCGTCTGCCAAAGATCTAAGTTGGTAAGATATATACGTGTTGTGTATGCGTCCGTCACCTTCTTAAGATCATTTACCCGCGGATATTCAATTTTTTATAATCTCAATCACCTGTTTCCGCCGTTGAATATTTGTGTATAACTTTAACTATGCAGAATGGTCCAGTTTTATCGACCGTGCTGTATGTTAAGGTAAAATATACAAAATGAAGAACTCATTGCATATAGGTGCACTTAGATTAATCAGGCATTCAATCGAAAATACCTTTATGCGATATTTATATGAATATTTGACTTTGCAGGAAACTAAAACTAGTGCTTTAAAAAAATCAAGCAGATACAGAAGCAGGTCCCTCTCAGCAAGCTCCACCGACTCCTACAGTTCAGGTACTTACTTATTATAATTTTGTGTACTTTCAACTTCGATTAAAAGAATTTAGTACGGAAAGCATTTCTAACGCGCCCTATCCACGGTACATACATATTTTCCAGGTCAACTTAATCCAAAAGATTTTCGCAATTCCGTTGTTAGCACTTAGGATTTTTTTGGGGGACTTTGCAAGATTTTTAAATGAACAGTAGTATGATCATGCTACTCAACAGCTCCGTCAAATAATAATTTTTTAGCTTCTTACACAGGTAGCTCCAGTGATGAAGACGATGTGTCGCCAAGAGAAAAAGTGCAGACAAATTCAGCAGGAACTTCGGATTTTTGTGTACGCAACATTACACAGCATGCTTTTGGAAGGCGGGAGATAGAAATTGCTGAGCAAGGTAAGCATTGGGTAATCTTATAAAGTGTAGGCACATTATTTTTTGCATCATAGAGATGCCGGGGATTATGGCACTTAGAAAGCGGGCAGCCGATGATAAACCGCTAAAAAACGCAAAAATTGTGGGATGTACCCACATCAACGCCCAAACGGCAGTGTTAATAGAAACTTTGGCTGCTTTGGGAGCCAATGTTCGTTGGGCAGCTTGTAACATCTATTCTACGCAGGTAAAATACAAAAATTCCTCAATTCAGAGAATTTGCACTGTAGGGAAAATTTTTTAGAATGAAGTCGCAGCAGCCCTTGCTGAAGCCGGATTTTCAGTTTTTGCATGGCGTGGGGAAACTGAGGAAGATTTTTGGTGGTGTATAGACAAATGCGTAAATGCCGAAAGCTGGCAACCAAACATGATTCTGGACGATGGCGGAGACGCAACGCATCTCATGCTAAAGAAATATCCCGTGATGTTTAAAATGATCAAAGGTTTGCAACGCATAGCAAAAAGTACTTTGGGAATTACGATGATAATTTCAGGCATAGTCGAGGAAAGCGTGACTGGTGTTCATCGCTTGTATCAACTTTCAAAAGGCGGAAAGTTAACAGTACCTGCAATGAACGTTAACGATTCGGTCACTAAAACTAAATACGACAACCTTTACAGTTGCCGAGAGTCAATAATCGACAGCTTAAAAAGATCTACTGATGTAATGTTCGGAGGAAAGCAAGTGGTGATTTGCGGATATGGCGAAGTGGGCAAAGGTTGCAGTCAAGCACTTAAAGGGTTTGGTTGCGTTGTGTATGTTACTGAGATTGACCCTATCTGTGGACTGCAGGCTAGGTAATTATGCGGAATCAATTTAATCATATCGAAAATACAAAATTCGCTTTCAGCATGGATGGGTACCGTGTTGTTAAGCTTAATGAAGTTATTCGGAACGTCGATATAGTTATAACTGCGACGGGAAACAAAAACGTTGTTATGCGAGAACATATGGATAAAATGAAAAATGGGTGTATTGTGTGCAATATGGGACATTCAAATACCGAAATTGATATCGTAAGATATTAGTTTTTCGCAAAAGGACAATGTAAAGCTAATTCATTTCCTTCCTGCAGAATAGTCTTAGAACTCCCGATTTGACTTGGGAGAAAGTGAGGTCACAAGTAGATCATGTTATTTGGCCAGATGGCAAAAGAATAATTCTTTTAGCAGAAGGAAGGCTAGTTAATTTAAGTTGTTCCAGCTTACCGTCGTTTGTCGTTTCAATCACTTCTGCAACCCAAGCACTGGCACTAATAGAACTATTTAATGCACCTCCTGGTCGATATAAGTCCGACGTGTATTTGCTGCCTAAAAAGATGGGTAAACCGATTTGTATTATTTTGCCTACAACTATTTATTTTTATTATAAATATTTATAGATGAGTATGTGGCTAGTCTGCATTTGCCCACTTTTGACGCTCACCTAACAGAGTTAACTGATGAACAAGCGAAATACATGGGATTGAACAAAGCCGGGCCTTTTAAACCGAACTATTACAGGTGAGTTTTGATTTTCTGAAAATTTTTCTTACTTCTAAGATTCATTTTGTTTCAGGTATTAAAACTGTCCAATTGTTCTTAATTTCATTTCTCTGTTAGTTGCTTGCATTTTATTAAGAATTTTGCTAATGAAACTCACGTTATTTCGACGAGCTAGTGAATTTTCACATAATTATAATTTTCCTGTTGACTACTTTTTGAAAAAAGCGAAATTTTTATTACAATTCAAGTGACATGTTATTAGTTGTTGACCTAGGAAATAGTGCTTATTTTACTTTTTTGACTGAGTGATTACTAGTGGATTTAAGCGACATTATTGAGCTGCACTGTATTTTCCAGCTGCGGAACTCCTGAATTAAAGTTGATCAACTTGACAGACGGTTATCTATCTTGGTAATGGGGGTTTGCTTATACATTGAATTATTATATTTTGGTAGTATCAACCCTCATAAACAAACCCCATTTACTTTCTAAGGGTGTAGCATCCTTAATTGTACTGTGAAAACTTTAGAGTGACGGTTAAGCAATCCTTTATTTTTGTATTAGGATAGAGTTGACTCTTCCAGACTTAGGTGTGAGCCGAATATGCTATTTTACCTTCTTAATTTAGTTTATACATCACTTTTTAGCTTGAGCTCTTATGAAAATTGGTGTTATCATTAAAGAAAGTGTATTGAAATTATTCTAGTGAGTAACTTTTTCGACGAGATAAAGCAGACAGATCTGCAAGAGCCTGATGACATTCTAAATCGGTGTTAGTTTATGTAAGAAGTCAATTATAGGACAAAACGTAAAATTTGTAATTCAACTTAGAAACTAATTAAGTATTATGATAGGGGCCTGGTTAAGATTTTATCGTTCACACCAACTGAATCGTGGCATTAACTTAGTTTCACCTATGCTGTCATGTATTAATACGTTGAAATTGGTTTCCAATTAATGCATGTAAAGGTTTTAATCTATTTTAAGACCGCAAATGATTAAACTTAGTGAATAACTCCTATTTTTCTCCATTATACTGTGGAGATAGAACCAATAGATGCCTCCCTACTTTTACCAAGTTTTTTATTTCTTGAATTAGCTTTTCTTGTGCCAGATCAATAAAACTATGTACATGATACATATACATTTTATTGGTCTCGTTGATTTAACCTAACAAAGAATACAGAAAGAACAAAAATAAAACTAGAAAAATCATTATATAAAAGTATAAACTGTTGAGCACCATATATTAAAGTAGGAGTGAGGTATATCTTCGTTAAACTATATGTATAGATACATGGCACGATTCATTTTTGAAGTAATTTGTGTAGTATAACTGCAATGGTAACTAGAGTTAATAAATATGACATTTCGATAAAGAAAGCGGTTAACTAAATATTAATGTGAATATTGCCGGCAACTACAGCAGAATTTAGCAAGAAATATGTGATGTATAAGCTACTCTGCTGCAAACAAGCCTTTAATTGAAAGCCTTAATGTGGTTGTTTACCGCTCTATAACCTAATTTCGGATTAAAACACCGGCCTCAAAACGCCGGTAACAAGATGTTACTTAAACCTGAGCTATTTAGTACATAAGTAGGTATTCCAATATTCACATTAAGTATTTTGTTTAGTGCAATATTGAAGTATAAACTGCCTTCACAGTACAGACCAAGATATTATACTTATTCCGATAAACATTACATTACAAGGACTTATGTAGCTAAACATGCCAAACAAAAACTGCTTTGGAAAAGAGAATTGGGGTCACAGATACGGTTTAAGAGCAATTTGGGGCCATTTGCAACATGTATTAAACTGTTGAAATGCCCTGAAGTGATTGTGATAGGGGAACCCCAGTTGCACAAGTTCAGAAAATTTAATATGGCATATAGGTACATTGAAAATATCGGGGTGAATATCTAGATAATTACCAATATCCGAATATGAATTAGCAAACGTTGGAGCACAAAAACCGACAAATTTGTATACGGCAGAATGACAAGGTAAATCTTATATAAACAGTTAATGTCATTTCGTAAGGAATCAGGCCACCCTGTGTTCATGTCGTTTGTCTCTTTCCTGCCATTGCAAAGAGGCAGCGAGAACATAGTTGATCACCTCCTGCACGATTTGTGCCTCAGTAACGAAGTCGTTTTTAAATTGCAGGACGTTTAGATTTCTCTAGAACTTTAGTGTTATTTACCAAAAACTTGATCAAACGAAAACCTACGGAACTATTTAAAAGTGTTTAGTGCAGAAGTCAAGGAAAGTGAAATGTAAATTCGCGGTTTTTGTTAACAATGTTTTCCTGCAGTTTCTCATAACCAAGTCCTGTGCAAGTAGAATTCTCTGAATATTACATACTTTACATCAAATACTGATGGAAAATAGGAACTATAACTGCTTGTGAATGGTTGGGGGTGCATTCCGGTTAATATGGAACAACATGTAAGTAATTCTAGTGCCTTGTAGCCCCAATATTGTTAGCCCCTAAAGGGCCTATCTCGTTAAGTAAATTGATTGTTAAACATTCCAAACAAGTACCAACATACCGGGTATGGGTTTGGCAAGTATTGTTTAAATCTGCTGACAATTACTGAGGAGTTCCAACAACATAAACCTGCACAAGACAAGTGGTTTCCTTAATGATAACATGTACATCAAATACCGAATATTTTAAACATATGTAAAAACATAACAGCTACTAAACAATGGGTGATTTTGAGTTCAAACATTACGAATTGGAGAACCCTTAGATGTTCAAGTGTGAAGTATTTGATGCAACTTAACTGTATTAACTAGCGTTTAAAGAGTTATATATCCTCTGTTACACAAACTGATACAAGAGTGTGTTAATTTGATGGTGAAAATTGAAAACAATTTTTGTTTGGTATTCAGTTAAAATCTGCTCCTAAAATGTTGATCATTTTGTACAATATACACATCTATTTACATGACATTCATATTATAAAATTGACATTTCCAGAATATTAGGTAGGTAGGTATTAATCATATAAAAACGATGGGCATAGCAAACACATTAAATATCACAGTAATAATGTTGGATGTAAAAGTTCCATATTATTTTCTTTTGATTCCTTACTTAGATATTACCCTACATTTCATATCTTGACGAAATATCAGTTCGAACTATCAACAGATTAGGCCCTTCGTAAACCTAATTTCCTAATTTTGCAATTAAAACATTAGTCACCAGTTGTTTTGAGGAAGGTCGCTTTTTACATTTTTTCTCAACATTATGTCCTCAATAATAAGGGGTCAGTCACTAAATGTAAAACAACATTAACAAAATTGGCTAAAAATATGTTCAACTAATTAAATTTAAGCTATGTCCAATAATATTAACATCTCAAATTAACTAAAGTTGCAATAAAATGCATTTTTGCCATAAAATTCTTGATAAAAATGCAACAATGTTATTATTTCGACTAGGAATATTCATGCACAAAATTAAATATCTTACACCTATGTTGTATTTTATAGTAGAGTTTTCTAGCTGCCAAGTCTTTTAATCAGCAGTACCTACCTTTGATAGCAGGTACAAAATGGCAACTTCTTCTACAATCATGGAAATGTCTTTATAAGTAAAACCTTAATTAAAATAATCCAGCTAACTCTGCCTTTAGTTTCAATTACGCCATCAATTTCATACAATAGAGTATTTCCAGTAAAAAAATATTATCTCGATTCAGAGAATATACTTACGTCATTAAAAGAGCGTTTTTTGTACATTTTTCGCGAAGGATTGAAAGTCATATTCATATCAAAATTTAAAAAGGACTGTGTTGCTTAACACTCCTCAATTCTCATCATTCTCGAAATTTTTGATTGCATGTCCAGTGTTAGCTGGATTTGTAGGCAAATTTCTTTTACCATTAGTCAACTAGTATTTTGATGGAACGTGCTCCATCATAGCTTGATGCTAGTCCCCGTCTCCCTTTATTTTGATGGCAATTGTGGCCAGTTCTTCCTCAAACTGTTGTTGTTCGTCTACAAAGTTTATACTTCCAGCTTTGTACCACACAATCACATCCACAAAAAATGCGCAGAGAAGTAGAGCTCCAGTGGTTCCTATTGTACAAATACTTACATAACACTTCTGTGAATATAAATTAAACGGAAAGTAACTCACCATGATAGAACATCCTGAAAGTATCAGAATCATACAAGCCACACGCCCCTTTTTCTCCGCACGCCATTTTCCATATTCGACATGCTGAGTCCACCACAGCTCCATAAACTATGGGACACGGCACATTGCCAAATAATCCTATTGCAAACTGTATCAGACCTAAAGCCATGGCTTTATCTTTTGGATCTACGCATCTTAGAATGAGTAACATCGATCCCACTTCAGATGTTGAATGTACAAACACAAATATGGAGAATAGCACAATGTAAGATATGAAATTGCCACATTCCTGTTCACAGTATCCCATTGTAGCATTTCCGTATAAAGTGGTGTTGTCAAAGTTATTATCCAGTCCGAGACAGAGACAATTTGAATATCCCACAATTTTTCCATGTTCCTCGGTGGTGTAGTTTTGGCAACCAGCTTGGCAAGGAGATAGATACGTTTTACCATCTTGACCGCAAATGGGTTGAAATTTGTTTTCATTGCAAGTGCACTGTGTTTTATTGCAAGCTCCTAATTGAATACCATCGGGCCTATAAATGACGTGAATTTACATTGTTTCGCAACCGAAGTAGACTTTGATTCATAAATGAACAATACAAATACAAACTACATACCCGATGGTTGGTTGTAAATCTGCCAAATCATTCATAGGGCACCCAATGAACATTAGCACGCCCATGCCGATAGCGTAAACAATTGCAGTAAATGCTATCCATCCAGCTACAAAGCGAGCATTTGGTTTGACTTTCAGTATGAAAATTCCACTTATTACGATGCCGACTCCCATTACGAGTATTCCACCAACGCCTAAAATGACCATAAATACAATCAACTCATACAGTTTGCCATTCATTACTGACCTGAAATCATATTGGCAGTAGGTGTTGGTAATCTAAATTGAGATTCTAAATATTTCGGTAGGAAAGTGTACAGTCCAGCAATTGGGAGAATATGAAGTACACTACTGGCAGTTCTAAACATGAGGATATCGTTCTTCAGAAGCCTTTTAACAGTCTTAGGAAAATCTAAAAAAATATATTTGCGTCCTTATCATGCTTTAAGGATTCGAATTGAAAGTGTCTTACCCCTGATACTGGGATGATCTTTTTTATCACTTATAACATTGTTTTTTCGAGGTCTATGCAAAGGCTTAACATGAGGTAGTCGTTTGGGAAATGCAAACATTGCAATTGAAGCTAGGATTAATAATCCTGATATAATAACTAAGCCCAACCACCAAGCTCCCACAAATCCTGGGTCGGATGCGTCAATTTTTATATCTGCGGACAAGTCGGCATATACATCCGTACATAAAGATCCTACTATAAATCCAAAGGCAGGACCAATAATGCGTACTCCAATTGTTATAGCTGCAAATTACAAACAAAAACAATTAAGCATATTTGCAATAGATAGATCAAATATATACAGGGGGTCCCGCTATCGATATCTGACAAACAAAAGTAGGAGAAATTTTAAAATTCAACAATATGCTTGAGGGCAAGCGATCTAAAAGATGGCCACACTTCCGGTTATACCGGAAGTAGGTATCAACTTGCTTATTTTAACTGGGACACCCTATATATTATTACATTTTTAAATTCTACTCCAAATTCTAAATATATTTCATGAATAACATCCTACACCTAAGTCTAACTGTTTTTGATATATGTATGTATTTGAAATTTTATGTAAAAAATTACAGTTGCAGCCACTCGAATAATTATTTATTTTTTCCATAAACGAGTATGGTCTACTTAATTTGAGTTGCATTTCTTGTCGAAAACTTCTCTCGCTTCTTCTCTTCTTACTTTGATGGAATTTCGACAACATTTTGAAAACTATTAATGCAGTGTGTTAAAACTAATATGTGTTAGAAAAATAGGTTTCAATATGCAGTTGAGAAAACCGACCAAATTCAATTTTTTCAAATGGAAACTCCCATTTTTGATAATTTTGTTTTAAGTAATTTTAGTAATTTAGTTTAAAAGTAAGCGGCGGTTCTCGGTGGGACACCCTGTATAGAAACAGGCATGGGACAAAAACAGATTTAGCCAAAGTGCTAAAATTATGGACATAAAATCAGTTGAAATTGAACAATTAAATATAAAGCGCCGTTATCATATGTATTCTTTAAATTAGCACGTTTTTGTACGTGCAAAAATGCTAATTATGCGTAGGTGGATTTGGTATTTGAGGAAATTTTCTGCTCGACCTAAATAAGAAAACAAAGGTCTATATTTATTCAGTAAAATTGAATAATAAATTCAGAAATCCGCTATCTGGAATACGCTAGTCGGAAACCATTTTCGCATCTATAAGTGCAGAGGCTTTGTGTTCGTTGAAGTTCTAATTTTAAATAAATATAAATTTTGCTGTCAATAGTAAATGTTCTAATTGATATTGACTCATATATGTAGTTAGCTCTGTAGCTCTTTTAAAATTTATAACACAAGTTAGAACAGCAATTTACTTTATTTGGGCAGTTGTTTCATTTATTCGACAAATGAGCTGGTTGATTTGCGACGTTAGGCATATTTTGGAGGTAGAGTAGGTTAATAGAAGCTTAATTGATTGTCCAAAACTGGTCATACACATACGAAATTAGTTAATACCCGGAAACTGTGCTGTAAATTGAAAATATAAGGACAATTTTGTTCATTCAGCAACTTACCGAAATATAGAGGCGATTGTTTGCTGGAAATATTATCATCCATATATGGAATTCCCAGTGTATATACGGCCGTTTGTCCCATGCCAACACCAAGTAAACTAATGAAGAATATTGCCAGGACAATGTTAGTAACGCTGGGTTGAATTTGATGTCCGGGAACAACGTCTTCATCATAGCACGTCTGGATTATATTAGGGGATATATTTTCATTGATAAAATCAGTTGCGTTCAATATCGTTTGAACTCGAGTTTTTGTAAACTCATCGAAATCGAGATTTGGCGCCTTGCATATGTTTGGCTCTCTGGAAACCAAGATCAAGATGAAAAAACCGTTTGAAAATCTAGTTTTGTTCGAGTTATTACCTAATAATTCCAGTGAGATCATTGGCTTTTATCAGTTGTTTTCCATAAATAAAATGGGGTAGTGAGCATGTGAAGCTGCTAACAGCAAATAAAACCATGCCCCACGCAATCCATTTTGGTCTATGTCCTTGTCCACCATAATATGTTAACAGTAAAGACGAACCAATTTGCCCCATCTCAGTGGCGCTCATTATAATACCTACAGATATTTGATATTAGAAGAGATTAGTCCAGATATGATTTACCTGATTACCTGTGATTTTTGACTGTATTTGGAACAACTTCTCTATCGTTGTTATTACACTTACAAAGTATGTGTGATACATGCCCTGTAGTACCCATGCCATACAAAACACTGCAAGGAAAACCTGAAAAGCTTGGTTGTAATTTCCCGCGATAAATGCAAGCGATTAATTTCTCACCTGTTTTGACGCAAAAATTTTGAGCCAACCGGGAGAACAAGGACCCCACCCGCACTCGGTCTCACTTTCATCTTCACTGTCACTTTGCGTTGTGAGATCTCCATTTGACAGGTGATTTTGTGATATGTGGTTGTTGTGATCGTCGTAGTGGTCTGGTGAGGCCGTTAGTGACGTTTGTTCACAAGCTCCATCGTTGTTCTCTTTTGATCCATTCTGTAGAGGACACATCTCGTCTAGGGATGTCCTATTGTTGTTGCTCACCTTTGACATTTTAGGGTCATAATTATTTTCAGTCATTGAACGTGTATTCAGCAATCTAGTTAAGATGAATTTTTATTTTGCTGCTCATGTGATGATGGAAATTCAGTCCTGATCATTTACTGAAAATAAAGAAATAACCCTGAATTCCACAAGTAAACTATGCCATAATGAAAGGAAATTATGAAATATTGGAAATATTTTCAGGCTTCAATTATGTGTCTGCATATCGTTCTGAGATATCTATGATTTACAAGCAAGATACGATTCTTTACATAATATTTATTTAACACTATAAATATTAATGCTTTGACTCTATTAAAACTGGTTTTCAAAATCGGTGTAACCATTCATAAAACCATTTGCTTCATTAAATTGAAAATCTTTCCATCTTCTTCGCATTTATTTTGCAATTTTCTCATTAAGTCCTGCTTAATTATGTGGAAATAATAAATTTACTATTTGTCCCCATTCACGCAATTCGATTTATCACTTTTTGCCAACTCGCATATATTATTTCAACTCTAGGTTTTTATTGTCTATTAACGCAAACCAAATGAGAATACAATAAATATAAATAGTTCATAAACGCGGTCTTTCACAATTAGATAAAAATAAATAAACACCATTTACTTTTAAAATACAACCTATGCAAATTTCATTGCTGTGACGTCAGCGCTGGCAAATCAAATGTATCTGGGTTAAACGGGTAAGATAGAAATAAAGTACCAGCTTATTATAAAAACCCATAAATTGACGCGCTAATAGAATATATGCGTAAGAAATGTCAACCATCATACAGATCCATTACGAAATTGAATTTTTTGTGCACTTGGTCTAAAATAGATAAAATTTAACTATTTTCTATTTGACATGAGGGTTTGAACACAGTGAAAACTTAATATGCTAATCTTTGAGACTAAACCATCAGGTTACACATTCAAATAGGACGATCAATGGTTAATTGAAATTCAATAATGTTGCATCCTGTAGTATACATATAAGAGTTTCGGACAGAGTTTTCTCTACTAATTAAATATACCTCGATAGCTCCAAAGGAACCGTTATCATTGAATACTTAGAAAGGAAACGTATCGTCGAAATAAAAACAAAATTTGGTGCGCAAGCATTGCAACAACGTCAAAAGTTTTGAAAGTGAAAAAGTAATCTCGTCATTACAGTAAATTGATACTTATAAATGCAAACAGTTACAGATGCACGCAGACTTTATTTATACATGCTAAGATACGAAGGTACTTAATGATTTATGACCTTATTAAAGATAAGTGGAAGTACTGGACTCGTAGAGGTTGGGCATTCAAAGATATCTAAAATGCATCATGGTGAACAATCGCATAATCCCATACTGTAATGTTATGCGAACCAAGGCCGGCCCTGCATGAGGCAAATAGCGCAAAAAACAGCTTTAGACAGTAAACAATTATTTAATTTGTGGAATTTCATATTTTGCATTATTTGGAATTCTACCTGGTACCCGAAAAGCAGGTGCAGAAAACAAATGTTTAACGTTTGAAAATTCTTATCACGGATTAACAAATATGTTCTGTTTTGAAAATATGTATCTATATAGGAGGTAATTTACTGCCATATTTAGTTAAATTACTTTGATTTTAATAGTCTGAAACAATTTAGATAATTAATTAAAACAACTTTACAGGCGAACATTTATTTTGATAAATTACTTTTTTAGTACCTATAACGCCTCGTAATTAGCTGGCATAACCAACACACTAACTTTCATAGGAAATTCCAAACTTTCTTCTTTGAATATGGGTCGCTCTGTATAGCTTTGCATATTCAAATGCTGTTATAATTTGAATAGAATACAAATATCATTTGTAATCTTGTATAACAATTTAGAAACCTCATATGACTTAAATGTAATACATGGTGATCTAAAAAAATGTATGTATATTAATTTCACTTTTTGCAGTGCGAGTGTGCGAGACACTTGGGGAGTCGATGTTAAGTCCAATTTATAAGTACATTTTGCTTCATTTTTTTCACAAATAACCTGAGTTTGGGGGTTGGTGGGGTGGTTGCAAAAGATGTAATTTATGAAAAAATGTGCTCTGATCGGCTAGCTCCTCTACTACTCTTTAACTATGTCTGTCTTTATGTGGAAATAATAACGATATTGCTATTATAGGTGTACACGAAACGTGTCTGAAATGCATAATTGTTTCATGTTGGTACTGTTACAACACTAGTACGCGTAAAGTATTTAAAAAAACCTATGAAACCAGGAACTTGCAGTCAGTGACTAAACAATAAGCCACCAATACGGCATAAGAAATATTTTCCTTTACTACGTATTGTTTTACTTTAATGCATTTGCATACAAGAATAACTGCAAGAATTTGCTTGTGTTAAGAGGCAATAGCCATTTGAACTGGACACACAATACGATTTGATTTTCAATTATTTACTATTTTTATTTAAATTTGAAACAATGGCCCATTTACTATTTAAACAAAAAAAAAAGATTTAATCGGTTTTTGTTGTTGCTTGTTTGCCCGCTGTAACAATTAGAAAAGTACGAGCGAATATTTCAACCATAAAATTGGCAAATCATGTTAATACATATACATACAACTTGATCAATTAAGAAATAGCTTTTGTTGAATTTTATTATTATTAAACACCGCGCCTACGATTGTATTATTTATATTTAGAAATCCTCAGCCAAGACTGGCATATTAAACGACCCTGGAAACGTCGATTATAACTGACCTAGGCACCTCAAAAATAATATGGTATCATATAATCACTAATAAATCTACATCTATTTTTCGTTATTGCCGCTCAGCAGATAATATTAAAATGTATGTAGCAAATCTTCAAAGTCAAAAAGTACACCTTGAATTTAGAATAATGTTGACTAGCAAACCAAATCCATGTAATGTGCAGTGACTCTATGAATTGTGAATTACGCAAATATTTAAATTTATAGATTGACTTGTTCTTATTTATTCGGGCCGAAAAAAATAAAACAGTCGATTTGAATTTCAAAACAGCTTTTGGTTTATATTTAAATATCAGACCCCCAATCGTCGCAGTTTTAGGTGTCTACCGTGGTTTCCTCTTAATAGATTAAAATTCTCAAAGTGGCCTTGTAACATGCAACTTTTTTTTGGTAGACATCTAAAAGTTAGATGTTTTATGTTAATCGATACAGATTTTTTTCTTCACCTTCAACTTTTTTATACACTGATTTTCTATGCCACAAGCAACGAGACAACGAGCTGTAATAATATTTAAAGGTACCCTAGTTTTCCATTTATTCAAATTATTAAATTACTCTTTAATTTCTGAAGAATGCAAATAATTAAAATTACGATAGTCCATTTCACTTTCACGTTACAAAGCGGTATCCGTTAAAAACGATTATTTAAATCACAACGTTTGCACTAGCCGATGTGTATTATCTATGTCCAGAAAAATCACTAAATCGTCTCAAAAACCAATTAGTAATAATTATTACAAATGATTTGCGATGATAATAATTAAGCATCGTGCTTAACTATGTGTAATTGAACGTAATTGGGCTTTTCATATTCACTTGACACAGAGAGTTCAAATAATAAAGATCAAATAACCATTTATTATTAAATATTCTATTTTATCAAACTTTCGTCTTATGCATGAATGTTAATAATCACAATTCTGATTCATGAATATGAATGTTTTCAATAACAGGTGGATCAGCACTTGCTGCAGAGAAAGTTGTAAAATGTAGACACCTTAAGAGTTAACAACCACTCAGCCACATGTAAACCATGGCCTCCTCCGTTTCTGTACTAACGCCCTCCATCATTTACAATCAAACAATAGAACAGTGACAACATTATGTTAGATGACTGCAGTTATTTGTCAATTTGGTAGTATACAGCGTATCACGAATTCGATGGTATTTAAAGTCTATGAAGACGACAGGACATTATAATCTATTCATGAAAGTTTTATAGCTCAATGATGTTCTTATTAACATATTTTATACGGCAGTGTATGTCTGCCTTCAAAGGATGGTATAAAGGCTGCCAAATTTTACACAATGTCCCTAAATTTTGGCACAGTTAAGCTTCAGAGTAGTAAGTAAATATCTTGTACCTGTTAAATGAATTACTTTGTGATTTCAATTCTGATTAATTAATACCTACAGTCTTGATTGACATTTAGTTGGCATTTATAATCAATAGATTTGATGGAAATGATCAGCGTTCACTGTTAAAAGCTTTAAGCTTAACAAAGTTGGTCCTTCTGTATCTATTTTGTTGAGACAAGCTTCCGACGACCTTCAAAATTAATTTGTTTACAAGTTCGTCTTGACAAAGCAGTTCTCGTGATGTTCTTTCATTTCTTCAGTCGCGAAGATATCTTTAGTGTTAGCTAATCGTATTTCAGTCTAGAATGGCTTTTAGATCAACTCTTATTAGCTATATATACCACCTTAAACCACATTAGAGCACACTGCCACGTTTAAAAATAATCCATGTAAATGCGTACGTACGCATGTTATCAAATTATGTTCCTCTCTTATACAATAAATCAATTATCAAATTTCCTTACATTCAAAGGTAAAATTAAATTGAGACTTACATTTCTGACCTGGGACAATCTTTTTGCGCACAGACTGCACAGTTAATGAAAACTGATTAATTTCAATTTCGGCTGTTTGTTTTGCGATAAAACAACATGTTATTTGCTGATAATACTTTTTTCGAGACGACGTAAAAATGCACTTAATTTACTTGTTCTGCTTTTACAAATGGACGACTCAATCGTAATTTACCTAATATGCTTCTCGGCTTTACCCTTGGGTTGAGGTGAAGCAACTGAAATTTGATTTGAATAGTACGCACTTAAACACATTCGGGTATCTGAAGAGATATTTGATGTTTGTTCATGAACTTATTAAATCAATAAGATGCGATTATAACGCTTGCATTATCTGGGTCACACGAGATTTTTCCGCAAACTTACTTTTAGTAAATTAACTTGAAGGTCATTGCAATTTTTGACCACCTTCTAATACTAATCTTCCAAGTAGGTTTACGAAAACATTCTCTAGATTGAAACATCATATTATAATAGACAGTTAATTAAGAAGTGAAAGTTTTGTAAATTCGGTAGTGACAAATATGCAGCTTGCTTGTTTTACGGATTACATCCCGTGACCGACTTTTATTAAAAAATCGTAATAATTAACCAGATTATAAGGTTCAACCGAAATGAATTTAATTCTTAGTGGTATGCCAAATTAGATCCTCCGATTTCTCTCACCAGTAAACAGCAGTATCAATTCATACTCGAGATGTGAAAACATTATTAGTCCAATTAAAACGAAAATTGAAAATGCCCAATCTGAAATAACAGCAAATGTTCAAAAAACCGAGATCAATCTTATTGTGGCCTGTATGCAGTAGCGTTTGTTTTTATAACGCGCGCATCTATCAAGTTTATTTTTATATATTTCTCAGACTTCACTTATGAAAGTTTTACGTTTTAAAAATACAAGCAACAGTGCACTCAATGTAATAAAGAGGAGATAAACGTATCAAGACTGAGATAAACTGCATCCAGTTAAGTGCACTGAAAACAAAAATGCAGATAACCGATTATATTTAAGGAAGTCGTTGTTAACATTGTAGCCCAGTAGGCCAATCGAATAATAATACACACTGGTTTTATTTAAGTGTTGTGGTATCGTTTTAATATGTCATCGAATATCCGTTGGAAAAAGTATTTCAAACCTTACATTTGTTTGTTGTGTCTCAAACGAAAACGGCTCAAATGCAACCGATATCTTTTAAATAAAATTTGAGATGCAAAACTCAAAAGAGCAACCTATCTTTGGTGGTCTAGACTGGATTTTTCGTTGACTCTGATAGACCTACAGTCCAATTATGACCGTCATAAATATTGACTGAAACAAGTTAGCGATGTTAAGATTGATGGTGTTGCTACCTGCGGTCATAGGCTGATCTACGAAGTGAAAATTGCTGTTTCATTCTCGACGTGAAGTTGTAAGAACAAATTTGAATGTTTTTATATTTGACTAGTGAAATGAATGGAATGCTGTGCAGGGATTCCCCTGTATTTCCTAATAATTTAATGCTTAAAGTCCTTGGTCTTTGTTTCAAAGCAATTTATATAAAATTCTCGCTTTAAATAACAAGGGATGGAGAATGTAGTCTATAAAATTTGGCTTGTATCTCGCTAGTAATTTTTATACGTTCCTAAAGGAATCAAAATAAAATGAACCTGAACCCATATCTGGCAACTGCAAAAATTTTCGATATCGCCCTCGAAAGGGAACAAAACCCATTTTGAGCAACAAAGTAAATACCAGGAAAGGTACAACGGATATGGAGGGACTATGGTCAGGGCTTTCGATGTGGGTCTTAACCTGTAAGAACTTTGAAACTTCAGAATGTCGATAAAACGACCCAAAAGACTTAAAATGTCTGAACCGTATGGTCACATTTTCTTACTTTTAGCAATTCGAACTATATATATGAAATCTATTTTCGATTCTCTAAAAAAAGCCAGTGAGGAAAATTGCATTGGATAAATCCCAAATTGAATATTTAAAATGTTTCAATTCTTCTGTATTTATCTATCACTTAGTATTCAAATTCATTGGTCATTAGTGGAATTGTATTAGCCACAAACCTGACTCAATATTCATTATTAACATTTCTGCGGTTAGTGTGCCCTAAATATTTGTTCATCATTTAATAACTGTCAACTTCATTAGTCAATTAGAGATGAAAAAACCGCTTAAAACTATTTTAACGGATTATTAACGCTATTTAAGCCATGCAAAAATGGTTAAGACAATGTTTAACCTTCAATTAGCAAAATATGAGGCAAATTTCACGTAATTGTTTTTAATGTCCAATGTCAATAAAAAATATTGCCCGTTGATTTGAAGCTTTAAAGAGCATTACATTATTACATAAAACGGTGCAAATTTACTTTGGGACACATCCACATAAGTATCCTAAATTAAACCGAAATTTCGTTCAAGTAAATGTAAAAATCTGACATCAATGGAAGCTTCATGATATGTGCGCATGAACATGACAAATTATTTTTTGTCCTACTTTTCTTTAAATTTCTTATTAAGCGCAATTACATTTTTTTCACTTGAATGTTCTGGTTTCCATGCCATTTCAGTGAATAAAATTAATGTGTTGATTGGGATAAATCGGACATGACCATACGCATAATGTGATTATATTCGCTCTCTTATTTGACTCGTTAATTAACTGCAGAATAGTAAAATTGTTATTGCAGAACGATTAGCTGAACTAATTTTACAGTATTTAGTTGTGAAAAATTTGAAAATTACATTAAAATTTTGAGCTCTAAATAATTTTCTTGTTTATGCTTCTATGATTTGCATTGATTTAATCGCACTGAAGACGCTCCAATTCTCTAATAAATAATAATATACTTTGCTAGGCTAATTGGCTTTGCAGCAAAAATTATTTTAATTTTTTAATCTCGTAGAGCTAAGAGTTTCGCAATCTGCGATAGTTATAAAAAATATGTTGAAACCATTTTTAATAATAATGTTAATTACATAACAATCTTTTGTGTTTCGAACGCGGGTACGAGTCAAGGCCAGTTACCTTCATGCCAAATTTTAGTATAGCCGAATATATGCACTACGTTTCTATCGTCAACTTTCGATCCAATCGAGGACCATCAAATAGTCACTTGTTAAAATAGTACATTATTTAAGAATGAAATGTGCTGATTTGTGATTCGATGCAGATTGTCGGTGTCAAATTACTTTAAAGGGCAAAGACACTGGTGCGGCTAAGTAGATTGATTATTTTCATTATCAGTTTTATGTACACACAGGTTATCTACACATAGGTTGTTGTACAACATGATGCGAGAAGTATACATATTTAGGTTATTTCATCATGTTGTTTCAATACTAGATCCCATAATTTCCGAGATGATTTTCCTAGCCTAAGTTGTCGGTAATATTATTCAGTGAAACTAAAAGATTATTCACGTTTTCTTCCACGGATTCACGAGCATCTTCGAAGTATTCTAGTTACAAACAAATGTAATATTATGTAAAAGAAATAGAAATCTCTACTTAATTACTTGCACTCTCGTTATGGGAAGAATGTATTTGATGAATGTTCCACATAATGGAACAATAACCATTTCAGACTCGTTTTCGTTTCTAACCTCCTTAATCAACAGTACATTAAATGTAGCTTAAACTTGACTGGCCTAGTTGAGCATTGTCGGTCATATCAACTTTTAATATAAGCAGCCTTTTAAAATAACATTAAAACAGACTTAAAAGTATAATACATTTTATGAGATGAGCTAGTAAAGGTTTTCTTGATATAACTCGTGAAGATTAAATAGTAATAAACCCGGATGTGGTAACCTGGATTTTGGATTTGGTGCACACCTTCTATACTAAATGGAAAGGAAATAGAGAACTAATCAAATCGTTCATAAATTGCGTTGGGCTTGGCAAACCAGCAAAAATTGACAGATTTAATTTTGATGTAATTTCTGGCTTCTGAATCGTGATAGTTTATCAATCAGACAAAGTACCTACATTGAAAAATTAACCGCAAGTATTCGCATGTAAGGCTGTACTTCAAAGAACTAAACTGCAGAATAGCAACAAAAAGTTCGTTTCGTATTCAAGCTATGGCTTATTTTTCACAGTGCTAAAGTATGTTAACGGTTTATCGTATTTTATTGTCTTTTGCGGCCTATTCGTGATGCAATATCTAATGACAAATCTTTTTACTTGTTAGTAATCGAGGTTGTAGTTTTTCATGTGTACAACATCAATTGATAAACTTCGATAAACCGTCGATTTTTCGGTATTGAATGGTGTTTTAATGAAAACGGCTGTTGAGAGGCGGTGTTTCGGTATAGTAGATAAAGCAAAGCGGCCATAAATTATTGTACATAAACAAAAAATCAGTTGTTTTTAATACTTTATCTGACGTTTTAAGGAGATTGTTGCCTGCCATTGAAATAACTGATAGGGAAACATACGAACTGCCAAGGGTCTAAAATACAAATGTCTCTTGCTCTTGTCCGGGAGCTTACAATGAAAACATGTTTAGTATAGATATCGTAAAAGTATCAACAAAAGTTGCTTGTTGTTTACAAGCAACTTTTGTTGATATTTTCAAAACAAATACTGTAGATTGTCTTAGGCATCGGGTAGAAGTGACTTGATGAGAAGCGGGCACTTTATATTTTTGATGCCAATTATGTGGATGATTTTTTCTGTAATTTAAATATGATTTCTGTATCTTAATGTTAAAAACTACAGCATGACAACATAGCAGACGCATCATGCCTGCGACCGCTTCTCGGATCGTTGTTCTTAAGAACGGTAGACTTGAAGGCGAAAGTGGAAAACGAAATGAAATATAAATAACTTTTACATTAAGGTGAATTTGTTTTCCATTGAATAATTTCATTTGGTGCTTAAAATACGAATGCCATTTGAAATGGACATTGATCTAAAATACAGTAGGAAGTCTCACCTAAACTTTGCCGGTTCATCAGCCTGGGTAAACATACTAATATTTGCAGTAACGAAGGGGAAAAGAACGAAACAGACGTATCGTTCCTGCCAGAGGGTCGCAAAGGCAACGCGGCACATTTGCCGGTTTGCGGCGGCTAAAAAATTAAAAAGGGTGCAATGTCAGCCTTGAATCTGGCAGTGGCTAAGATGAAAACAACGATGTTATGACGACACCAAATAGACAACCGCCACAATAACGTGGCCGTTAAACACGATACGGGAGCAAGCCAACACGAATTGAAAGCGACTAAATGCGGCTGGTTCATACTGGGCCCAGGCAGGCAACCGACCTGATCAGGCCCGGCCCCAGGATGAGATGGGCTCTTTGCCCCTCCAAACATCTCGTGTTTTTTCCATTTTTTCATAGGTGGTTTTCATGCCTCCTCCCTACACGTCGCAATACTTAGCTACCATGCAGCGTTACCAAACTACTTGCACCGTTACTTCTTCCGGACTTATAAAAAGTCATAAAAAGTTGCGTTTTTTATATTCAAACGTATAGGTTTTGAGCTCGAAGCATCACTTTTTCATTCGTGGATTTGTACGAGAACATTGGCTCACTTGAAAAAATTTTCGGTCGTTTTTTTTGAAAAACCAGACCAAGATCATTTTGCCATGGTTGAATAGAATCTTTCAATAGGCATTTTTCCACCCATACATCAAGATCGAAATGATCGTCAAAGGACGGAAAGGGCAGATTATACAGCGACCTGCTTTTGACGAAAAAGGGCGACTGCTCACTTTTTTGTTCGGCTTTTCGGCGCGTCTTTCGTCTCCATCCTTGGAGATCGAAAGGACGGTCATATACAGTGTGTCCTCTGATCGTAGCTATGCGATTGGTTAAATTAATCCGTGGCTCTAGTGAAGAAAAACTAAGTATACTCCGAACATTTCCTGCATCTTGGTCTCGGAATAATATATCGATTTGTCTCTATTCAAGCAGTGCTGAACATCGGAAGTTGATATTTAAATTCTTAAAACTTTTACCTATTCATGCGTCAATCTGTAGATATGCTACATACAATGATCAGTCCACCATTGTTTAACTCATTCTCAGAATATTTCATTGCTTATATTAATTAGCAATACACGCGGGCGGGTTCTGGTTCAGCATGCCGAAAAACGATAAATTACTACAATTAATATTAATGATATAATATAATATTGTCGAGTTTTACATATGTCACAGCAACATTTATATTTATTTAAGCTAAAATTATCGATTTACAGAACAATCATGCAACATTTCAAGTTCAATTGAACTAATAATACCTAATATATATAATAAAAATAAGTACAAGGTATGATTGATGAAACTGTGCTATTATATCGTTGCTTCATCCAGGTTTTTATCAAAATCACTTTTGATAAATCACGAAAAAAAGGAAATTGTTTGAAGCAATGAAGCCCTATTAAACAGGCAAACTGAATATTTTAAGAAAGTATTGAATGGCAATACTAGTATACCTATATAAGACGTATTGAGCATTGAAAGCTAACACGATTCCTAGCCAGTCAATTAAATTTCAAAATGCGTTCTGGCCACAAAAGTTCGACAAGAATTTTTCATGTACACTTTGGCCCGCCGAGGTGAATACCAAATTTTTGCACGTTACCGACAATGCAGAGAGAAAGATATAGACGATTTCAAAACAAAGATTGCCTGCTCATACATGTGGTGGAAATGCCTTCAATTGCTTTAATCATGTTTAATAAGGCTTAAAGTTAGTATTTATAGACCAACCTCTTCATTCTGTAACTGAATAAAACTAGGCTGTTTTCAAACCCATGCCAGGTCCACTTTCATTATTTTCACTTTTGATAATCTGGTGTCAGATATTTTCTTTTCAGTTTTAAAGATTCGTTTGTGGATTATCTTTCTCTACAAGTGCCATAGTTATATCTGAAACTTAAATCTGTAACATTTTCTGTGATGTGAACAAATTGACAAACTATTAATCTCGTCGATTGCTTTACAATTTATAAAATATTGTAAATGTCTTGAATTGTTCTCTGCATAAATCTTGACCTAGGTAATATGTATTTTCGTAGAATCACCAGTTGTCTGTCCATACGTTCAAGCAGAAAATAGACGACTCTAGTTCGGGTCATACGAAAAACATTACATTTGTTGCGCAGTGTTTTATTTTCTTTCATTATCTATTAATTTTCAACTCAGTTTCGACGTATACCTATGTTGTCTTGTCTAGAAATACAACGACGCTAAATTAAAAACTGCCCAGGTTTTCTGGTATGGGTCAAGAACATTGTTGTTGAATATAATGCATGATATTGATTGTTATGGTTCGTAATAATGTTGACCTTTATATAAGTTTTTAGCGTTTAATCAGCGAGAGATATTTTATTTTTTTAACAGTTGATCAATCATGGGCGTTCATCTACAGTTTTCTCATTTGTCTGATTTATTGTAAAGTATCTGAAGTGAATTATTTCCCTTAAATGAATTTTTCCAAGTCCCAAATCCAACTTAATCACTTTGTTTGAAATTTATGGACGGTCCACATCCAGATTATTTTTTTGTGAATCTGATTAAGTACGTTGTTAAGCATTTCACAGTTGTATAGAGACGCTGATCTTTTTTTAGATGTCTCGATGTCTGGACAGTCATTTAAACTAAGAAATTGTTTTCTTTTAAACATCTATTGTAATAGGGTCAAAGTTGAAAATTGGTTGTGTTTATTCCCAGGCATTTTTCAGGTCAATTTCCAGTGCCTTATAGAGTAATAGTTTTGAAACGCTGGGTTTACACATTTGCTACCGATCACAAAGCAAAAATTGCGAAGAAAATAACTAAACCCAATGGGTTTGTACAGTTGAATAACTTAAATATTTTCGGTCAATTTAGCAGATGTGCGTTAAAATATCTGGGAGAAACGGTCTTATTGACTCAATTGCATGGTCATATTTTTATGCAGACATTCAGTGCATTTAATTAAACTTGATTTGACTAGACGAAAAATTGAAGAATGAATATATTTGTTAAATTAAACGTTCAGAGAACGAGTTTAAACTGGCTTAATCACTAGAGTTAAATTTCAAAAATTACGTTCGTTTACATCGGGCCCTCTGTTACAAATTTCCCAATCTAAATTATTTCAGTAGGTACGAATGTGAAAGTAAAAAACATCGTCTTTAACATCGGTAACGAATGTTTCACATAATTTATAGTAACACATTTATCGTCAATAGGACGTGCCTCGTATTCAGAATGAGCTGCTTGATAACTTAGTCAATATACTGGCAATACGTGAAATTAGGACATAACTACAGGGTGATTCGTTAGATATCAGCCTTACAAAATTCCGTTTATTAACATCGGCTCGTTTTTCTTGTATATAAAATTAGTCACTTTAGTTTTACTCTTTTATCGACACCTAGAACTTTATATTAAAATGCATCCGCATCAATTAATGATGACCAAGTTAACTGCGAATTGATGAGAACCTTGAAGGTGGTACTTAATCGCTCATCGCTTTGAGGTGAAGATTTTCTGAGGGAAGTTAGTATGAAGTGCTAAAATGAAATCAATAATGTTTTTATAAATTTTATTGATAAATATCTTCACGGTATGTTTACATAACTAAAAATCTATAATCAGTGCTTTTCACGGTGATATTGAAAATCAGTAAGTAGTACGTTGTCCACGCTCTTTCACTAAGCCGAGTAACTAAAAATAAGAGCCTTTGGGCAATATGTCTATATAATGTTCTAAACTTTGAAAACTAAATGAGAATGCGCTGTAAACAAATAAATGTTTCTTATTTTGATACGTGTTTTATCTAAACATAAAAAAAACAGTTTTTGCCTGTAGAATTTTCGACTCTTTCCGGTTTTTTATTAACACTGCTGTTTCATGCAGGTACTGAGTACGAACGATATGTTTTTCTTTCGCTATATTTTTGTCGGGAATGCTAAGAAATCTAAGCAATTACGCCAGGTTAGAGTTTTATATTTTGATTTTATTTACAACCAGATTGTACAACATTATTCTAATACTATACATTTCGATTTTGAATAACTATCGGTTTATTAAAAAATGTTATTGTAGTAAGTAATAGTATTATCGATACAATTTTATTATTATTGATATCAAATGATAGGTTAAATAAATAATATGTAGATACTTTAAATTAAATAAAATGTGTAAAATATTGACTTTACAAAGCTATATAATAAACCAAAGCCATTTTAGCTTGCTTTGGCAAACAATGATATAACAGAAAATTTTTAAATAGTATAAAAATAAACAAAATCCAACAAGGGATCATTAACATTTAGCTACCGTATTAATTGTTATGTCTAAAAGCTATATTATTATTATTATTTCTATTTTTATGCCTAATATTACATAAGAGCATATGATAACGTGGCGAAACATCTGAAATAAGTGTTCATTATTTGCATGGTCCAGCTCACGATTCGAATGAAAAAATTATTATTGTCATGCTTAGTGATCAAACCAGGATTTTAAATGAAGCTAAGTTAACTAAATGAAGTGAATAAATTCTAAATTTAGTATAGAAATGACTTGACATATATTTTCAAATGTAATTACGTAATTGCTACCATATGCTCTAATATCCAATACATCTAATATTTGATTATACTGACGGTATTTTGTCATCCTTATTCCATGATGTAAACGGAAAATTGTTATTAGTTACAAAAGAATGTAAAAATATTGCTTATAATTCAACTTTTTGGCTTTGAGCAGTTTAAAGTTGATATAGTTTCATGGGATATGTTCTGCTTAGCTGATGTTGATTTGACGTTCATTTGTATTATATGTATAATCAGACTTAATCGTAATAAATTTAAACTTTATGAGCTGCCTACGACGTAATAAATGCCGTTTTATTTTACCATCAACACTTACTTGCAACTAATCAGACATTACACATCGAAAAACCGAATAATATAATCACATATTCGATGTATTACCTCACTTAATACACCTTAGCTATAAGCCAACTACTAATAGGAGAGTTGAAAATTTTCTGTTACATCTTTTTCCATTATTATTTAGCCAAGCAGTTCGAAACTGACCGCTGAAATTGCTTTTGTGAAAATAAAAAAAATATTTCTCTAATAATGCTGGCACAACATGAAGAAGCCCTCAATTGGAATATTATTTACTTCAAATTAATTATCTAAAATCCGGCGGGTAGTTTAACTTACTACAGGATTATATGGAGCCTTCAAAACATTTCTAAAAAAAATATATTAAAAGGAATGTAAACTGCATAAAATGATTAAAAGCAAAATTTTGCATGATACACCATGTTACAATATTGAAACTGCCATATTCTATTTCACTTATTTGTAACATTAATTATTCCTAGGTACTTTGAAGTAATATTCAAGTATACAGTACAAGTCTCCAGTAATATCATTAAAAAACAGTCAAGGGAGTAAGTAGTGTTGGGATTAAAGTGTAAAATAGTCGAACTATGTACTGTATACTCAAAACTAGTGGACGTTAAAATATGTAGGTTAATTTTTCTGTTACATTAATATATACATACATTTAAGTAATATAAGACTGAACGATTACCTTTAGACAAATTGGGAAATTCAATTTTATTTGTACTCGGTACAACATGTAAAATGCTAGCGCATATTGATGGCTTTTAGAATGTATTGATCCTGAAACTTTATTTTGATTTGCATCTCAATTATTTATTCGAACCAGTACAAACCAAAATATGCATATTATTACATTGCGTTACAAAGGCATTTTCGAACTCATGCACATGTGCGTGTTAAATTGCCATGTAAATGAAATTAGTTTCAAATACTTGGATTAGCGGTCGACTACAAGCTAAAGATGAAGATTCAGTCCCTAGTAAAGTCACCAGCAGCAAATATGATTCGTTATTTTTAGCGTCCTTTTTAAAGCACTATCTTCAAGCATAAAACTCTTTGTTCGTTCCTCTACTATACGAATTCGAGTTCGGAGATTGTTTCGGTTCGCCTAGTGCATAGGATCCTTCATCTTTTTTACGCATTCGGTAAACGATGAGCATGACCACCAATATTGCACATAATAATCCTACTACTGCTCCACCAATCACCGCTGAAAAATAGTTTTTGTTAGTTTGTGTAAACCATATACAATAGCTAAAATTACAAAAAAATTGAAATTTACTGTGAGAACATAAAATAGTACATTCTTAAATTTGATTAACGATCGCTGTCAGGGAATTGCAACTGCTCGAAACACTTGGATTTATTTAAGTGGTATAATTTATGTGCGCATAGAACAATAGAGGTATTAAATTGACGAATAAACTCCAGAAAGCTAATCGCTTTTATTGGCAACGCCTTTTATTTAAAAATCTGATTGAAATGTTCTAACAGTGAAATCCGAGCGGGTTTCAATAAACTCCCATAAATTTCAGTTTTATGAATGTTGTCGCCTCAAGTTCTACTGTACAAGAGACATTTGTATGACTATAAAACACTGATTTGATATTGTTTGTGCCTTCAGAACGTTTGAAATAATTTCCCGATAGCAACATACCGGCTAATATTCCCGGCTGAGAAAAGAAGGATGTAGGACGATCTTCTGATTTTGGATTCATAATGACGCTGGTATCTTCTGTTGGTGCAATTCCTATGGATCCCTTATCGTCGTTTCCAGGATAAGCTGGAATTACTGCATCATTCTTTAGAATAGTACCATCAAATGGTGGACCTAAAATTAATGAAATCACAATTAGAAATCTAAGATTAAGCAACTGCGACAAGAAAGTAATCAATTATACTAACTATTATCTGGTTTAATAATATCGACATTTGAACTGATCTCGACATCTTCGTCATCTTCGCCAGGAGGTCCCTGACCTGAACCACTCGACTCATCCAAATCTCCTTTGAGCTCACCATCAATTCCACTGCCTTCTATTTCGGCATCTGGATCTTTGAAAAGGAACCCATTGCTGTTTCTTTGATTGCTCTGGAAAAATAACACCGAATTATAAAGTTGGATTTTTTTCGTTGCAGGCCGCTTACGGTCCTGGGTGTTTATAAAAGTGACCTTTGATTTCTTTCCAATTTAAAAAAAGAACTTATTTGCATCAAATCATTCCCATCATCGGAGGAAAAAGTGTAGTCAGTAACCGAACATATTTTAAGCAATCTGGTCCGACTGGTTCAGCGAGAAAATCAACTTCTCATTTTTGGCAAATAAAAATAGTACACATTCATTATTTCATAATTACCGCTCATATTATTGTATGCTACATAACTGAGGATGAAATATTTTGTCAGTCTCTGAAATACGAAAACTGACATAAAAAGTATAATGTGTTGATCCGGCAACAGCTAAGAAATTAATTACCAAAGCAGCGATCAGGTAGAATTCTGGTCCATGCATACATCGGACCCTTCAAGACCTTCTTTTAAATAGTGTGACCTTTTTCTTGGGTTCGCCATATAGACAGGCTTTTTATGCGCTTTGGAGAGATGATTTTAGTAGGAAAAACGTTACTAGGGGAAATGTAAATGCGGTCGTCAAAGCAAAAGCTCAATGGGGAAAGCAAGAAGTCAATTAATTTAAACTGGATGACCATTATCTTTTGCCATTGAATTTAACATAAACTCCACCGTGGGAGAGTTACATGAAAATTAAAATATTCTTGTGAAGTTGAATAGAAAATTTTAAAATTGTCCAAGGTCGTTCATGTTTAAGATGTCACACTCGTGCACAATTTATATAAGTTTTGCAAATTTAGCAATCTTCGAATGACTTCAGATGCACTGGTAGATCGCTTGCGGATTAATTTTTTCCAATCAATCAGCACACATTCCACTTTCACGCTTTTAGTATTATGCAAAAACATTCCTTATACAGAATACCCTGATAGCACTACTTTATAAGATTGGCAGACATTGCAATGATGTAAGTTGGCCTTCTAATTCATCCACACAACTTTCAGCCTTTGGACCTATTTAAAACTAGAACATTCGAAAAATGGCTTGATCATATTAGGGCAAAATGAGAAAAAGATTATTTAAAAAAAACTCGTCTATTATAAAAAATTAATGCTTGCTCTAAATCGGTAATTGAGATATTTAAGGAGGGACACATTTATCAATTTAGACAGTTCTGCATGGCACTCTATACCTAGTTCAAAACGAATCAAACAAATGAGTCCAAAGTCATTAAACTATCAATTTAAACTAATACTAATAATAATTAATTCTTCATGCAAAACTAAGACAAATATAGAAGCAGATAGCGACAACGGAACTTTTAAATGTTCTAATTTATCTAGTATTTAACTAACATTCTCAAAATTGCAACGAATAACAAAACATTCCAGAAAAAAAACAGTTTGATTTATATATTATTTAGTTGATCGTGAAAGCATTGGCGATTACTTTGATCTGCTAATAATTAAGTGATAGCAAACTGTAAATTATAAACAAATGCAAAAGCCATCATGGTCTAAAAACAACATAACAGATAAAAATGCTTGCTGACTGCGTGTGTGTTCTGCAAAATAAAGGTTGTGAAGTTCAAACGTTTTTATGTTAATTAGCAACATCAAGATAGTAAATTCGGGGAAATGTCATTCCAGTTTACTTACACTTTAGGATCTTACTTAATGTAAAATTAGGAAGGAAGGCCAATATACATAACAATTATGACAATTTTATTTATTAAAAGAAGACAATTCCTGACAGGTAAAAGCTCTTCGAAGGTGAATAGCTTGCAAACTGGACCAAGACCAAGATCAGAAGCGCCTGGAACGCCAAGTAATCAATATATTTATGCGCACTATGCTCATGGAGAGCGCATTTCAGCTCCTCTCATCTCCATGTTGCCACTATCAACAAACAGAAGCTAAACCTCCATAACAGCAGCACATTATCTAACTTTTCATTTAAAATTTCCTTGATTTAGAATTTTTCTACCTCGATATTCTTTCGCGATAATGTCCACTTAGGCATACCAAGACCATCCATCAAAGACCTTCGCGAAGACTTCGAATGTTATAAACGATGTTCGTATTAGATCTATTAAACCTATCTACTAAATCGGTTTGAAAATGTAAGAGGACGAGATTTAAATCATTTGTTCATTGTCAAATTGCTCGGTGTTAAATCCATTTGAAAAGTAATTAGAAACGCCAAGTAAACATAAATGTTTCCTGTTAAAATTTCTAGCAAGTTTGTGACGGCCTAATTATAATTGCAAATTCCTTAGTGGTGCTAAATATAAACCAAAGTAAGCCTGGCTAATAACATTGATTCTATTTCAAGTGCTTCCTATTGAACATTTATAAATAAAAAATGCAAAATGAAACTAAGTCAGCATAGCGTTCATGTAAAACATCAAAGCGCGAAAAATGGATGATTTGTAAATAACAATGAACAAGCGGTGGAAAGCTTTAATGAATGCATGTGGCACCTATTAATAAAAAATGACTACTCGAGTGGTAATAGAAGTTTTTTGTTGCTTCCAAGGCGGCTTGCCAACAATGAGCGATTTTCAAAAACAATTCCGTTTACATTTCAACCGAGTTTTTCATTATTTATCTCTCTGAAGGCACGACTGTAATATTTCCAAGATATCCCCATAACCCCTAAATGTTCTTTTCGCAAACCCATTAATTATCCTCGGCCTCGGATTTATCGTGGACCAATTGATTTCTTAAAACCATTAAGCGCTTATAAATTTATTATTGTCTTCTTGTCCCCTTTGGGGTTTTTCTACGTTTCATATAATAAATTAGGGTTATTAGAGCAAGTGTCTTTTCAGGACATTCATTTAATGAATGTAATTAAGTGGCGAAAATTTACTCTACGAATAAACATTCAGTCCTTTAAATAAATTGAAAAGCAAAATTTTGTAAAGTTCTTAGCTCCTTGGGCTTTTCTTGTTTAAATAATGATATTTAAACTATTTGTCGGGATTTCCATTAAATATTAAGTAACATTTTTTGTCAAAAAAACAAACCAGCTTTAGTAATATTCGCGTTATTTGACAGCTTGGCATTAAAGAAAACAATTTTCTGCTTAATTCTATCCCACACGGAAATACTGAAATATTGTGCCGCTCTTAATAATAATAGCAAGAATTCCGGTGTAACAACAGCAAGTTTGTTGTTGTTCTGGTTTGTAAATGAAATTAATTGCTTTTTAAGATATGTGCATTCATATGACTCACAACATTGCTATAAAAGGGTCAATTTCTCCGTCAATGCTGTTTTATATTGCCGATCGTAAAAACCCACGCTGAACATTGTTATTTTACGACTTTTATTGGAGAACATTAATATAAAAAGTCGATGTTGCAATGTGAATTGTACTGCACAACTACTAAAAACTATATAACCCCAGGAATTTCGAACAATTCAATTCCCTTTAGTTTCAATTAAATCTGCTTGCGTTGACCATTGTTTATTGTCAACGTTTATTAGCCATTTATTGTGAAGTTTGAACTTGTCGGATGGAAATTCGAAAATTCAAACTCCGCCTTGAAATCAGCGCAATACATTTTGACCACGATTTTAATCATCTTAAACACTACGCGCAAAAAAATCTCGACAGTTCAGTTTGCGTATGGAAGTCACCCTTTATGGCGCCAAATTAAAGATCGTATGGTACTTCACGCATTACGATTTATCTATTGTGCTATATGCTACACAAATTGTGTGTTATTTTTCTCTGAACAGTCGATCTTATCATCTAAGGATGTTAAGGGTTCAAAGGGAGCAATAAGGGTCAGTTGCATTTGCGTTACCAAAGCTATCCGTGTAAAAAATTAACGCGTAAATATAGTAAAGCTTAATCCATTGGCTATAAACGGTTGTTGACAATGGCAGATAAAATATGTGTAAATGAAGGTGGTCCCACATATAACGTTTATTTTTAGAGCTCAGAACCTACATACATATGTAGCTGAGTTTTTAGCCCATCATAACATATGTCTATGGCAATCAATATTTATGAAGATAATTATAGCTGCTAATTAAATTTCAATTTACCGATGCTTTAGTAAATGCATTTGAACGTCAATGAATACAGCAAAAATGCGTGCATGAACGTTCGTTTAAACTTTTCACAAACAAATTGGAATGCACCACTCGCATTAAATACTAAAAATAACTCAGAATTGAATACATCAGACAACAGCCATGTGAAGGTAAGTTCTAACGGATCTTCGAATCAATCGGCGTCAAACTAACTTAAATTAAAAATAACGTGAACTCTGGAAGGGTATTTCCAATGCTTTTATATAGGCACATCTTTGACTGTTTCTTCCAATTATTATTAGAGGTGTTCTTTTGAGGTTCTTTGAGGTGAAAGCAAGATAATGCACGCAGTTATTTGAATTTTCGAACTATACACTAAAACGGATCGCCAGATAATGGTATCCGCAATAATTTAAACATTGACATTCATTCTAGTCTGCAAACTTTTTTATTGAGCATTTATATAACATATGAAGAGTCTACAATAAGGAATCGTAGGTTAGCTGTGCTGGTGACGACTTAAAAATCGTTTAAAATGGCGTTTTCGCTTACTTCGGATCTGATTTGTCATTGAGGAAAAAATCGTCGGCTAAAAATAGTGAACTTTCAAAAAACGCCTTAAATGTTCAGAAAATGTCTAATATTTTGGATTTGAAACTTCTAGCATGTTTTTCAATTAGTTCGATGCATTCCCCGTGTCCGTGAGGTGAAAATGATGCAAAAATGAAGGCATTTTGAGAAAATTTTCATTTTTTCAAAAAATCGACCCCCACCCTTTGAAAAATTTCGGCCAAAAATAAAAATTGCACATGCGTGATTTTTGAACTCAATCAACTCCTTTCGACGTAAGAATGTCACAAATATGCATTCATACAGTGTTTGGGTCAATAATAAGGAAAAAATCGTGCACTCTCAAAAAACGCTTAAAATGTGCAGAAAATGTCTATTATTTCGTATCTGAAACTTCTAGCAA